ACTATCCTACAATTTAAATATCAGATAGTTTGAATATCTTCAATATTTTGAATAGAAAATATTCGGGTAATTTATTTTTGCCTAATTTGGTTTAAATAATATTTCAGGATATTTAGTATTTAAATATTATATATAATTAATATTTTAGGTATATAATTTATATTTTAAAATTTTTAAATACCCATTTGGTTCTCGGTTCAGTTTCTATTTTTCGGTTCCAGAAAATATATGATATGATCGATTATTTATGAAATTTGGTTTAATTTTTGTTTTTTTTTTCAGTTTGATACGATTCGGTTCACCTGAAAAAATGTATAACATATACATTATCTTATATAAAAATTCATTTAGAAGAATTTGATTTATTTCAAAAATAAACCCGCGCTTTTTAAGCGCGGGTCAAAATCTAGTGGTTATTAAGAAGAAAAAGGGATAGTTAGAAGCAGGGAATGTTTGCCAAATATACGCGTTTGTTTTAACAACACGTAAAGTAAAGTTCGATGTAGACTGGGTTTTAGAATGCCTAGTAGGCCAAGAAAAACTTGATCTTAATATACAAACCTAGATTTTAATTCGCGCTTGAAAAACGCAGAAATTTTTTATGATTAAAAATTATATGATTAAGTTTTATCTTAATTTAAAAAATGTTTTGGTATAAAATTAGTTTACTAAAATTTGTGGTGATAGTTGTTTTTCATTAGTTTTTAGTTTCAGTTTTTATTTTTAGATCTTGTTTTAAATTTTGGTTTTTGGTTTTTAGTTAATTTATATTTTTGATTTTCAGCTTTTGGTTTGAGTTTTTAATTTTTAGACCCGCTGAGTTAGTTTGAAATGATATTACCAACAAAAAAATCCCAATTAATCGAACATGTAATTTAAAATTGAAAAGATGACAAAATAATTTTCTAAAAATTTTGAAATAGTTTATTTTGTAAATAAAAAAGCAAAAAAATATAACCTGCGTTTTCAGCTTTTGGTTTTGGATTTTAGTTTTTAGATTTGGTTTTTGGTTTTGCTTTACAATTTTTTAAAATCTGTAAATTATTTAAGAAAAATAAAACAATAAATTATTTAAAAGTTACCATTAAAATTTATCAAGATAGAGTGATTGTTAATAAAAAATATTAACATGTTTTAAAGTACGTGATTTAAATAAATGATTAATAATAGACAATTTTTTAAAAAAATTATGATTAAAAATTTATATAATTGGGTTTTGTCTTAATCTATATTATAATAGTAGAGTTTCTAGGCTCCACAACGCGCCACGTCAGCAGTTTTGTGGGGTCCGTAGGTATTTTTTTAAAATCTATAGACTTGGTAAGATGATTATGAACAATGAGATACACTTTAGCCAAGTGGTATAAGGTGTCCAATTAAGCATGTAAAATCGTGGGTTCAAACCACGCAGTTATCATGTATTTTTGATTTTTTGACTTGGGTTATTATCATATGGGCTTTTTGTTTATAAAGTTCTTATTTATTTTTTGGGCTTATTTTTTAAAGATCAAAATAGTTGGATAAACCCTAAAGTTTAACAAGTTCAAACCCAAAAATAGTTAAAAATAGATCCAAAAACGAACAATAAAAAAACAAAAAAAAAACAAGTCCCACGCGGTTGCATACGCGGATGGCTTAAAGAACCTTAAAACTATCATATTATAATATAGCTTAACCCAAAAATAATAAAAAATGGATCCAAAAACGAACAGACCAAAAAAAAAAAAAGACACGCGGCTGCCTACGTGGATGGCTTAATGAAGCTTGAATAATATAGATTAATAGCTCAAAAATTTAATCCTTGCACAGATTTCCTAATATATATTTTCAAAAAAAATTGTATGTGAGATAAAATTAAAAAAAAACAACAAAATTTAATTATTTTTTGTTATTTATTAAATGAATATGTAATTTCTCTTACATTTTAATAACTACTATAATTTCATTGAAAACATTCCTCACCACCGATTCCAGACCTTGGTGAATGGATTCCCACAGTCGATGACGCCGTAGATAAAAATGCCACATCATTTATGAACAAAACTCAAACTTACAAAAAACCATATATAAAAATCTATCTAATGAAACTTAAACAACGAATATTAATTTAATTAAGGTTATTTTCAAATTGATAAATCGTTTTATACAAATATAAATACTATAAATATAGAATTATATCAAGTTTTGACCTACAATATAAAAAATTATTTACAGCAAAAAAAATAAAAAATAGACACCTACTTTTACACACTAAAAATTATATTATAGCCTAACTATTCCTATAAACCTTACTTCACATATAAATAACATTTAACACATTATATATACAATATTTTCACTTTACATTCTTACTACATTCTTTCAATTTCATTATTATTTGGTGTTATTAGACGAATCCACTAAACCAACAATCAAAAAATATTGCAAACACAATGATCCTAGCCCCGCGCTTGCGCGGGGAGTATGCAACTAGTTTAAAGAATGTTTTGGTATAAAATTAGTTTACCAAAATTTGTGGTGATAGTTGTTTTTCATTAGATTTTAGTTTGAGTTTTTATTTTTATATCTTGTTTTAAATTTTGGTTTTTAGTTTTTAAATTTCTATTTTTGATTTTCAGCTTTTGGTTTGGGTTTTTAATTTTTAGACCCACTGAGTTAGTTTGAACTGATATTACCAACAAACAAATCTCAATTAATCAAACATGTAATTTAAAACTGAATAGATGGCAAAATAATTTTCTAAAAATTTTGAAATAGTTTTTTTTTTGTAATTAAAAAAAAAACAAAAAATATAACTTGCGTTTTCAGCTTTTAGTTTTTAGATTTGGTTTTTGTCTTTGCTTTACATTTTTTTAAAATCTGTAAATTATTTAAAAAAAAATAAAACAATAATAGATAATTTTGTTTTGTTGAAAATATTAAGTATTTTTGGGCTAAAATAGAGCAAATTTGCTCAATATTAGGGATATGCCTTGGTTTTAGGGGAAAATAGTAAGAAGGGGGATGAGAGATAAGAGAGAAAGAGGGTAGATAGTTAATTTAGGGGTTTAGTTTTTATATGAGATACAAATTATCTAAAATTTATTAACATGTTTTAGAGTACATGATTTAAATAAGTGATTAATAATAGATAATTTTGTTGTGTTGAAAATATTAAATATTTTTGGGCCTGAAAATAGTAATTGATTTTTGATCAATTAAAGTGAAAAGTTTATTTAATGTTTTTGGAGTTTTTCTTTAATACTAAGCCCATAAACCAAACAATTAAATGTCATAAAATAAAAGTAAGTCCAAACTCTATTCCATAAATAACCGCCGGTTTAATTTAAGTAATGTGGTTCAATCAACTATATAACTTGTATTATTTGTAACACTCTAGAAATAGTCCAAATTTAAATGATAAATTGTATCAGTAGATAAAAAGAATGATTCTATTTTAATAGAATAGATAGAATAGATGATCTTGCCCAAAAAAAAAAAAAAAGATAGAATAGATGATGAACGTCCAAGATTATTCCCCTCTCTGTGACATATTATGGAATTGAAAATAAATAATAGTCGATCAGCACGGGCTAAATAGCAGAACCATTCGTTTTTGGAAGATATTAGTTATAATTTCTTGGTGAATTATCAATTAGTCTTTAACAAGATATAAAAGTTAGATAAATGTTTCAAAAATAAAAGAGTCGTACATAAACTAAATAGTGAAACAGCCAATTCGATATTGATGTTGAAATATATTACTGGTATCTTTGTTTGTCGAAGAATGTTCTATTCACACTAAGAAGAGTTCATCTACATTGGATGACTAGAGCATTTCCATTGCTGAATTTTCATCTAGTATTTTAGTCATAACCCCGAGAACTGAGAACCACAACAGCATATTTAGTGAAAATTATCTTTTAAATGGTTAATTAAAAAAAAAATTATACTGAATTACATTAAAAGACAAATTAAAATTTTGAAAATAAAATAAAAATTTGAAGACACTCATGCAATGCATGCTTCTCAAAATGACTTGGACTTGGGATCATCTTAGGCCATAGTCAGGCCCAAAAACATGTTCATAGAACTATACACCACTATTTTTTTTATTTTTGGTTACACTGATTTATTATTATTTACTATTCAATTAAACTCTTTTTTTTTTTGTTGATTTAAACAATAATTTTACTCATGACATACAATGTATCATATATTGTAGCCACTTATACAACTAATTCACCATATATATGGACAGCAATGAAAGTTAGCTCCAGAACTGATGTACTTGCACATATATATTGTGTGATATAACAACTACCGCAGATAATATATTTATTTTCTGTGAAAATAAAAATAATAAAATATATATTATATTGAGTTGCTAGTTACATGGTACAGTAACATAAAACTAAGGGAAATACAAAAACAAAATACAAGGTTTATATATATATCATTAACATGGCACTAGAGAATCATTGAGAATAAAAAAAACTTGATAAAGTAAAAAACATAGTGCATATCTTTTCTTCCATGTATATAATGTAAATATTAAGGCTTGATATCCATTGTGTGTGATAAAAATTTGTACGTTTGGAACATTTTGGTTCCTGAAGTGTGGACCTAAGAACAAAATTGAAGGTATTTTTTTTAGAATATACTAAAGATGGGTGTCTTGTTAAGTATAAAGATTAGTTAGTCGTGTGGATTAATTAAGATATGTTTTAGTATCAAGTAATTTCAGTAGAAAAAGACTTGTTGTAAAACTCTGAAAATAATCTGTAGGGAGTAAATTAAGACGTAAATACGCTACTGACTTACTATATACTGTATAATTGAATGTTTTCTCATAATTTTGTTCTTGCAATGAATGATCAGATAACTGTGTTCCTATTTTTTTTTTTAACACAATCATGTTTTTTTATGATATATTTCTGCATGTTTGTGAGTAGGCTACATTTTTTTCTGTTATGTTTGCTTACCAAGAGCATCTCCAAAAAAAACTCTATAACTTCAAATATAGAGTTTTTGGCTCCCCAAAAAGAAATCTCAAAACTTCAAATTTGAAGTTTTTAAGAGTGAAACTCTATATTTGAAGTTTCAATACTCAAAACTCTAAATTTGAAATTTCATCTTTTTAATTGCATTTTGGTCCTTACAATTACAAATAAAAATTAGAATTTATAAATATTTTTTTTGTTTATTGTTTTAATCCATAATTTTTTTTTAAATCTCATAAATATTTCAAATTAAAATTTACCTTTTATAAATTTAAGTTTAGACATAAAACTAAATAAAAAATTATAATAAATTTTAAAATAGTTGCTTGTAGTTTAGTATTTTTAAATATTTTAAAATTAAAATTAGACAGCAAAAATGTGGTATTCTATTTGTAATAATCATGTATTTGTATTTTTTTTTTTTGAAACAAAAAAAAATCATGTATTTCTATTTGTAATAATCATGTATTTGTATTTATAATTTTATATTTTAGTGTAAGATTTTATAAATTAATATTCTTGTATAATTTATATATATATATGTATGTTATTTATCAATGTTTTATGAATTTATATTCACTATGACAAATATAAGGATCAAAATGTAAAATAGAAATAATTTTGAAGTTAAATTTGAAGTTTTTCTTTTGGAGAAGAACACCTTGAAACTTCAAATATAAAATTTTAGAAACTTTAAAATAGAGAGTATTTTTGGAGATGCTCTAAATACATTTGACTTGCGTTATTTTTATTTATGTATTTGCCTCTTCCAAAGCAGAAGGATGAGTAGTTTACTACGAGAAACAACTATGAAGATTAGAAAAAATGAATAATGATTTATGCTCTTTAATTAGTACCCATTCTCATCCCAAAAAAAAAAACAAACCACCTCTAACTGGAGAGGTTAAATAAATAAAAAATGGTAAATCATTCCCTGAAGAGAAAATGTGAAAACCCCGGTAGCTACGCGTTGTGGAAATCTGGTGTGGTACGGATTTAAAATCGAATCTCTTTAAGGATCCACGTAACGCCTTGACCACCCGACCACAGACGTGTGGTTATGGAGAGGTTAAATAGTTAAATGCAGCGTAAAAAAAAGCGGAAGGATGAGGCTAATGAAATTCCTATAGATGAGCTGAGTGGATTATCTAAAATGAACTGGGAAAGATTCTCTGGTCAGGTTGTAAACGAACCCGAGGCTATGTCCATTTTAGAAACAGAAACAACATGTATCCTTCGGGTTCATAATTGGGTATTTTAAACCAAAAGCTGGCATTGGACAAGTAGTTATGGGCGTCATCTGATTTTTTTAAAGCTGATAATAGTAAAAATTCCATTTGGGTTTAGTGGTGACGACAGTCATGAGCCACTTTTATTAGAAAGTAAAATGTTCAGACATGATCACACATATTTACATTTTTGTTTGGAAACTCCATTTGGTTTCAAAATTCACTTTTAGAGTGCGATTGCGAGGAACCTCACCGGGTGCACGTGTGTGCAACCTGCAAAAGCTATTTATGTACCAAGGAGATTGTCGTTTACAACTCATCGTCCTAAACAAAACGACGCCGTGTGCTGGTCACTCGAAGCTTCAAAATAAATCGTAATCATAAAAAGTAAGACTTGGCATCCCAGAATACTATTAAAAGAAAAGCCAGTTAAGTAATAATAAATTGAAAATAACTAAAGAAGAAGAAAAAAAAGTTATTAAACAATCAAATGAAAACCGTTGGATCATCAAAGAAGAATTATAACTGGATCACGAGAAGAATATACAATTTTTATTAAAAAAGTAAAAAAAAAAAAAAGAAAAAGAGTAGAAATTTAAAATAAAGCAGAAAATTCATAGCTTTGAGGAAAGAAAGAAAAAAAAACTCAGACTTCCCAAAGGAAAGGGGAAACCCAGACAAAAAAAAAGAAGGCAAAATTTCATCAAGTCAACAAACAACAACAACGAAGGTCCGAAGAAGTTTGAATGTTATCATAATCATCACAATCATCGTTGTAATCGTTTTCTCTGGGTATTGTATTTTTTTCTCTGTTGACCTCAATTTCTGTCATCGCCGATTATTGTTTTTTTTTCTCTCTTCTAATTCACGTATTTTCCTGGAAAAATCCATTGGGTTTGTTTGTTTATTTGTTGGGAAATGTATAGATTGTTTTACAGAACCGAAAGTTTGAATTTTTATTTGGGTTTCATACAAAAAGGAAGAGACTTTTAGATATTGTTAATCCGAGAAAGTTTAGGGTTTTCTCTCATTGATTCTGTTTATAAAGCTATAGGCTTGATCTCTAGGATTTGAGTTTTGTTTCTGATGGGTTTGTTCTTATAGGTCTTTGTTGTTCTGTGGGATGATTAGAGAATAAAAAGCTATGTGGAAACAGATTCTGAGTAAGCTTCCCAAGAAGTCTTCTAAGAACGATCATCATCGTGGACGTGAACGTGAACACGGTGGTGGTCATTCCTCTTCATCATCTTCTTCTCATGCTTCCACTTCCAAAAGCAGTGACAATGGCGCTGCTAAATCAGGTAACTCCCACACAAAGAACAACGCTACAACAGGTGGGAGACCCGCTGCTTCTGAGTCTGGTCCTAAAGGTGGAAACAACAACAACAATAACAACAATGGAGTTTTTACTCCTTATGAAGCATTACCTAGTTTCAAAGACGTTCCAAACACTGAGAAGCAAACTTTGTTCATAAAGAAGCTGAATTTGTGCCGTGTAGTGTTTGATTTCACGGATCCTACAAAGAACATCAAGGAGAAAGATATCAAGAGGCAGACATTGCTGGAGCTTGTGGACTATGTTAATACCGCCAATGGGAAGTTTAGTGAAGGGAGTGTCCAAGAAGTGGTTCGGATGGTCTCTGCTAACATATTCAGAACGTTGAACCCTCAGCCACGTGAGAATAAAGTTATTGATGCCTTGGACCTGGAGGAGGAAGAGCCTTCTATGGATCTTGCTTGGCCTCATTTGCAGCTTGTGTATGAGCTTTTCTTGAGGTTTGTTGCTTCCCCGGAGACTGACACCAAGCTGGCTAAGAGATACATAGACCAATCATTTGTCCTGAGGTTGCTTGATTTGTTTGACTCCGAGGATCCTAGAGAGAGGGACTGTCTGAAGACCATTCTCCATCGGATCTATGGTAAATTTATGGTTCACCGTCCTTTCATCAGGAAATCCATAAACAATATTTTCTACAGGTTTGTTTTTGAGACGGAGAAACATAATGGGATTGCTGAGTTTCTTGAAATATTGGGAAGTATCATCAATGGGTTTGCTCTTCCTTTGAAAGATGAGCACAAAGTGTTTCTCGTCCGTGTTTTGATACCTCTCCACAAACCGAAATGCTTGCAAATGTATCATCAACAGTTGTCTTATTGTATCACACAGTTTGTGGAAAAGGATTGCAAACTTGCTGACACGGTTATAAGAGGGTTACTGAAGTACTGGCCCGTGACAAACAGTTCCAAAGAAGTCATGTTTCTCAATGAGTTGGAGGAAGTACTCGAAGCAACTCAGCCACCAGAGTTCCAAAGGTGCATGGTGCCATTGTTTCGCCAAATAGCTCGATGCTTGAACAGTCTACATTTTCAGGTACCTATAAAGCTGCCTATTTAACTCTCTATGCTTTCTCACATTTGTTTTTGACATATTCTGAAATTGGTTGCGCCTCTCATTCGCGAGGCCATATCTTTTGACAAACTTAAAACTGTATCAACGTTTTTGCCAGTGTATATATCTGACCAGCTACTGGAAACTTTTATAGCCTAACTTACTGCTATAGCAAATGGAAGAGTTGGGATAATGAAAGTAGTGATGTTTTAGGACTGTTGTATTCTTCCCTGGATGATACTTATTTGAGCAAGTTTCTTGGATAAATCGATTTGTTAAGGCTATAATCAAATAGAAAGTTATGGAATCCGTTTTGTCTAAACAATGACTGCATTCTACAAGAAAAATTGTGTTCATTTCGGATAAAGTCTTGTAGGTTCAGGGTCTAATGAGTTGTTGTGACTTGTGACTAGATCTCCAATCTTTGTTTCAGTCTATTACATGCATGTGTTTGTTTTTTTTTTGCAGGTTGCAGAGAGAGCTTTATTCTTATGGAACAACAATCACATAGAGAATCTAATAATGCAGAGCCGCAAAGTCATTCTTCCAATTATATTCCCTGCCTTGGAGAGAAATGCGCAGAAACACTGGAACCAAGCTGTTCATAGCTTGACACTAAACGTGCGGAAGATATTTAACGACCTTGACCCTGAATTGTTCAAGGAATGCCTAGCCAAGTTCAAAGAAGATGAATCAAAGCAAGTTGAAACCAAAGCGAAACGTGAAGCTACTTGGAAACGTTTAGAAGAACTTGGGATGCGAAAGGCTTCATGAGGTTTAAAGCTGTAAAGAAGAAAAAGAGAGAGAGAGCTTTTCGTGTCTTATCCACTGGAGTGTGGTATGTTCTTCTGATACTACTTCTGATATTCAATTCAGGAGATGCATTGAAGAAAAGTGGCCTCTTCTTTGAAAGAAAGGAAACTCAAGATGTAAGATTGTTCCCGTTTCGATTTCTTCTAAAATCTTTGAAGCTTGTTAATGTTTTTTTTAAATATATTTTGCTACATTGTTCGATCTCTGTTCCACTTTCCTGAGACTGTCTGATTCATTCATCTTCTCCTTTTGATGATATCTGCAAAATTGCAGCATTAGGAGTTGCCTTAAAGAATCAGTTTGTTGTTTGTATTAAATACTTTTCTCTTTTGGATTCTCACTTGTATATTCTTTTTTTAAAAAGCAGTCTTTGGTTTCAGTTTGTGGATCTGTTTACTAACTCCAACAAGTCTTGGAACTCTCAAGACCTAATTGCATGATCTTTGATTTGCTTCAGACATTGGATTTAAATCTCTTTATTACTTCATTGGTTTGGTTATGACTTAAAACGTTGTCGACATGCTGTTCCCTGTTCAGACAGTTAAATTTTTTTCTCTGGTCATCCTGTCTTCTCTAAGTCACCATCCTTTCTTTTTTATCTCTCTATAGTCTCTCTAATCTTTATCCATTTCTTTCTTCTCTTTCTACTCATGCCAACGAAGCAATATCCATGAAAAGCTAAACCCTTCTTCTTCTTCTTGGTACTTTGATTGTTTAGATTACTTGTGTGTCAAACTCAAGTTCTTCTGCTTCGTTATATGATTCATGATAATAACAAGATCTGAGTTGTTGGTTTTCAACTTTTGCTTTTGTCTCTGGATGACTAATCAAATCAAGATCTAGTCAATAAGAGATGTTCACAAGACTTGTTCTTATGCGTGGTGAGACGATCTTAGGAGTAGTACACTTTACTACTTTACTTCTTTAATCGGATTTTCAGGTATCTGAGATCTGACTTTGCTTTGAAGTAATGGAAGCTTGAAAAAATCTAATCTGAGAAGTTTCAGTTGGAAGCTTGAAGTTTGACTCATAGATCGGGAAGATGTTTAAGCAAATACTTGGGAAGCTTCCTAAGAAACCTTCTGCTAAGTTTTGGGATAATGGTGAGTCCCAAGCTCCAGATAACAACAACACTCAAGTTGGTGACGTTTTGAGCCAGAGATCATCATCAAATGGAGACAATCTTGCATCTGTTTCTGTTGAGGTCTTGCCAAGGTTGAAAGATGTTTCCATCTCTGAGAAGCAGGAGCTCTTTCTCAAGAAGCTTAGATTATGCTGTGTAGTGTTTGACTTCGTCGCCGAGCCTCAAGGGAACCTGAAGGAGAAAGAGATCAAGAGGCAAACACTTCTTGAAGTTGTGGACTATGTCATATCCTCAGGGAATGGGAAGTTCACTGAATCAGTTATTCAAGAAGCTACAAGGATGGTTTCAGCTAATCTCTTTAGTACTCTTCATCAACAATGGAAGAACAACAAAACTCCAGAAGCAGGAGACTTGGAAGAACAAGAAGAAGGTTCCTTGAACCCTTCTTGGCCTCACTTGCAGATTGTTTACGAGTTTCTCCTAAGACTCGTTGCATCTCCCAACACAGACGCCAAGATATCCAAGAAGTACATTGACCATACATTCGTTCTCAAGTTGTTGGATCTGTTTGACTCTGAAGATCCTAGAGAAAGAGAGTATCTCAAAACAATACTTCACAGGATCTACGGGAGGTTCATGGTTCATCGTCCCTTCATCAGGAAAACAATGAACAACATCTTGTTTGATTTCATTTTGGAGACAGGGAAACACTCTGGAATAGCTGAGTTTCTTGAAGTATTGGGATCTATTATCAATGGATTCGCTTTACCTCTCAAGGAAGAACACAAGCTCTTCCTTACTAGAGTCTTGGTTCCTCTGCATAAACTGAAATGCTTACCTAACTACCATCAACAGCTTTCTTACTGTATTATACAGTTCGTTGAAAAAGACTGTAAGCTCGCTGATATTGTGATTAAAGGGCTGTTGAAGTATTGGCCTGTTACTAATAGCTCCAAAGAAATCATGTTTTTGGGTGAACTAGAGGAGATTTTGGAAATGACTCAGTTAGCAGAGTTTGAACGTTGTATGATTCCGTTATCTCGCCAAATTGCTCAGTGCTTGAGCAGCTCTCACTTTCAGGTTAGAGAATCATTACTTTCATCTTTTGGTTAAGAGTCTTGAATGATTCATGAGTTTAATGCTTGAGTATTTGTTTAGGTAGCGGAACGGGCTCTATACTTGTGGAACAATGACCATGTTAGTAACTTGGTGAGACATAACAGTAGAATCATTCTACCGATAGTGTTGCCAGCTTTGGAGAAAAACGGAAGTAGTCATTGGAATCAGACTGTGAAGAACTTGACGGAGAATGTGCTCAAGGTTTTGTCTGATACAAATCCAGAGTTATTTGAAGAATGTTTGCGCAAGTTTCAAGAAGAAAAGCAAAATGCAGAGGATAACAAGAAGAAGAATGGAGAAACCTGGAGACAGATAGAGGAGATTGTTGCTTCAAAAGGACAGACATCAATGGCAAAGTAAGAGTTTATGTTCTGCACTTTTTACGCTATACAAAAAAAAAGAGAAATTGGTTTATGTTTTGTTTTTATAAGCCTGAAAGGTATATACAGTTTTACTTGTTTGCTTGGTTCAAAGTCTATTGTTTGTCCTCTTTCAGTTCTTAATTTGTCTGTCTGTATACTTCTCTGTTCATGTAAACATCTTTGTAAGAAATCAAGAGTTATCTATTTGTCTGAAAGTCGCGTAGTTGTAGGTGAAACAGATGACTCTCGTTTGGTTTTTCTTCAAAAGATTTCACCAGAAAAGTTATCATTGAGAGTTGATGTGATCTTCAGAGAACTTTAAACTCTCTCTTTTAGAACAGCTTGGTCCAACGATCTTTGGTCCCATGGTTTTCTTCTATTCAGTTGATTCCATAAGAGACAAGAACCAAACTGCTTCTTGCTCAAACGAGTTTCTTTGAATGTGGGGGCATGGCTTAAGAAGTTCGCACTCTCAGGAGAATTCTACTTCTTTGAGCAAAAGAAAGACGTCCTAGTTCTTCTGGATCCAGGACCTGCAGTATAAGTTCAAAACTGGAACCTGTAGGACTGGATCTGCCTCTTAAGAAAACCAAGAAAGAGCCACTTTCGACTAGGTAAAGGTCAACTAGCGTATCGAAAAACCAAAACAGATCAACACCTCAACAACCCCTTTCACATGCCAAGCAACTGTGCTTCTACTGGTATTACCTACAAAAAGATGGCCAAGAACGGTTCTAGAAGAAGCAGTAGCAATGCTAAGGATGCAGGAAATGCAGACAAGAAGGAAAGATCATGTCCAAGTTCAGTTCACATGCCACTCAGCTTTGCTTCTTCTGCTCCCCAAAACGACCAAAACAGCTCCAAAAAAAAAAAAAAACTGAAAAGAAAATCCACTACAGAGGAAACAAATTCAACTGTAGAACCAAAGGGTAACAAACCAATGATAGCTTCAAAAAGCCGCAAGAGACCAATGTTTCAACGAAGTTATGGATCCTCTTCTTCAACACAGCCGATATAATAACAAACTAGACGATCATCATAAAGATTCGGCTTTGAAGTTTTGTCATTTCACCTAGTAATCAATCTCATCAAGCTTATAAATAATGTTAAGTGACCAGAATAGAACTCAGTTCCTTCATCAAACTAAATCTTGTATCATTTTAAATATTGACAGTTGGAATGGTTCGTTTTCATTGTTCCTTGATTTGGTCTAAACAAGCAGAAATGTAAGTATCTAACCGCTTTAGACAATTTGAAGAAAAAGGCAAAGCTACCTTTTTTTTCAAATGTGTTCTCAAACGACACCGTATTAAGGTCGGAAACACCAAGGGCCTCTCATTTCAGTTGAGAGAGAGAGAGAGAAAAATCTTATCTTTGTTTCCATGGGAATGACAGAACAAAGATCTTTCTTTTTCTCTCTGTGTCAGGAACTTACCTCTTTCAAGTTATAACATTTCCTAAGGCCTTTGAATCATCATTTTCTATAAGTGAAGATCGTCAAGGTGAAAAGTTTATTCCTTTCACCTTTCAAGATCATCCTCTGTTTAGAACAGAGTATCTCTAAAACGAAGCACCGACTCTTGTTTATTGATTCCATGGCTTTGACTTCGTGCCTAAAGACTGGAGTAGTTCCTATGTCTCCGACCACCGGATGTAATCTTTCCGGCAGTTTCTTGAAGTCGGAAAGTAACTTCTCTGTGCCGACGAAGTTACAGAGCATTGGAAGGAGTGATAAAGAGAGGTTGAGAGTACAAGCAGTGTTCAGCTTTCCTCCGGCGTTTCTAACAAGGAACGGTCGAGCAGAGAAGCAGAAACAGCTGAAGCAGGATCTTCTAGAAGCCATTGAGCCTCTTGAACGTGGGGCAACGGCTTCTCCTGATGACCAGCTTCGGATTGATCAGGTTCCTTTTCTCTTTCTTGGTTGCAGATAGTTAGGAATGTAGAATCTGAGCCTTTGAGGATCTCACATACATGCTTGGCCTTTTGTTTGTGTGGAGACAGTTGGCACGTAAAGTGGAAGCAGTTAATCCAACCAAGGAGCCTCTGAAATCTGATTTAATCAATGGGAAGTGGGAGCTCATTTACACAACCTCTGCTTCTATTTTGCAGGCTAAGGTTAGACCTTGCTCTGTTGCTGTAATGTCTTATTTTTTATTTTTTTTAATTGGGCTTGTTGTGTCATTATCTCAGTTTCTTTAAATAATGCAAACAGAAACCAAAGTTCTTGAGATCAATAACAAACTACCAGTCTATCAATGTGGATACTCTCAAGGTTCAAAACATGGAGACTTGGCCTTTCTTCAACTCGGTAAATCTTTCAAACTCAAGAATTCTTATTTATACCATTTGTAGTAATAGGTCCGCGCCTAGTACTAGACCATATACTAATGGGATGAATATTGAAGATGTAGGACAAAGTTTTCTAGATTCTGTAAGCTAGAATTGAAAACTCCAACTCATATTCTTCGGTCTTGGGAGGATCATATTTCTTACTGCAGAAGCTGTAAAATGAGTCTTATCTATTTAGCAAACAACGTTTGTTTTGTAGGTAACTGGAGACATAAGACCCCTTAATTCAAGGAAGGTTGCCGTGCAGCTCAAAGTGTTTAAAATTCTCGGCTTTGTAAGTTCACACTCAAACTGAAACTCCTACTGATATATTCTCGCCTTTGTCTATAAGAGAACCAATGTACTGATTCAGACAGCATAAGTTCTTTTTTACCAACCGTCAGTGATGGTTTGTCTGATTGGTGTGTTACCGTGCAGATTCCTGTAAATGCACCGGATACCGCACGTGGTGAACTAGAGATTACTTATGTGGACGAGGAACTAAGGTCATTAGTGAATGAAAGTTTTTGTGATACATATACTAAACGTTTAATACCTTTAAAAAACATCTTTTCTTCTTATGCAGGTTGTCAAGGGGTGACAAAGGCAACTTGTTTATATTGAAGATGTTCGATCCCACTTATCGAATCCCTCTCTGAAAAAAAACATATGGTTCCCAAGCCATCATACACATACACACACACCCCATCTCTTGTTCTATCTCTCTTCATCATATGTATAGATGAATGTTTCTTCTTCTACAAACATAAGAGCAATAAAAGACAAGAGACGAGCTCTAATCTCAAATTTTAACTTTTGTAATTGTAATCAGATGAAAAGCTCAAAAACTTTGAAACTTGTTGTGTCTCTTGTTTGAAGTGGACTGAAATGTAATGAATAAACAACTCCTTGTTGTCTGTGTTTTCTCTAACTCGAGCTAGAGATGTGATAAGAAATAAAATACTAACGATGACGTATGAGGTGGCAAGACACAGACCTCTCGTTTAAGATTGTTGTCATTTGTCAAAGCTCTTCCTACTCTTTGCTTTGGAAACAGACTCTCTATGGAATCGTAAGCAATATACTTGAAGAACACAGAAGAAAAATATATCTGATGGGTTTCATCGCTCTGCAAGTTTGGAGCAGAAGAGCTTCAACTTCTGTTCACCTTCTTCGTGCAGGTAGGTGAGTTCGATTCCTTACTCGTTATGATCAAAATTCAATGTATACAACGGAGATTCTGAATCTTTCATTTGATCAGTTGGTTCTTACCCTAAGCTATATGATGCTGGAACATTAAAAGCAGTCAAGTTTGAGACTGTAAGATTCTTGAACTTTTCTTGTTCTTGGTCCTAAAAAAACAAAAAGTCTTCTAACAGATGATCTTATTGTCTGTTTATCTATCTTAAGGGTTTTAAGTTTAATGTAAGAGCCTCTTCTAGTCGTAAATCGGTTAAGAAACTCAGAAGAGAGTCTAAACAAGGTAAAGACATAACCAGAAGAAGTGTTACAGAAGCTGAAGAAGAAGATGTAATTGCTCAAGTTGATGATAACACTTCAACTTCAAAGGACTCCAGTGATGTTGTTGTTGCTGCTCCTCGAGACAAAGTGCTTCAAGCCTGCACTGTAACATCCGGTTTAATGGCTGCATTAGGCCTTGTCATGAGAACGGTGAGCTCTTTGAAATGTTTCTGTTTTTTGTTGAAATTCAACTAAATGATTCTGTTAACATTTTGCAGGCTTCTCATGTTGCGTCCACTGAAGGGTTACCAATCCCAGACTGCTCTACAGATATACCATGTAACATGTTTAAACCGGCTTATGTGCTGTAATAACTATAGAGGAAGGAATCAATAAAACAAACTTGTCTTTATGTATTTTGTCTGATGATCATTTCTTATTGCAGTTGGTTTTGAAACTTGGCATCTCGGGTTAATTGCTGGGACCGTTGTGTTGATATCATCAAGCAGGTTCTTGCTACTAAAGTCTTGGTCAGACTTTGCTGATTCAAGTGAAGCAGCAAACCAACAGGTAAAAAAACCTTACTCATTGTAACATTTATATGATCTCTCTAATAAACTCAGCTTAACCGATTCACTACTTGCAGATCCTTACTTCGCTGGAACCTCTAGATTACCTTGTGGTTGCTACTTTACCTGGTATTAGTGAGGTATAAAAAACAATTGAAGATAAAAAACAAAAAACACAAGTAGTAGTAGTATGTTTTCTTTTTCAACAGTCAAAAAGTGCATATTGGTTTTGTTGACAGGAGATGCTGTTTAGAGGTGCGTTGTTGCCTTTGTTTGGAACTAGTTGGGGCAGTATTGTTGGCGTTGGACTCATCTTCGGTTTACTGCATCTTGGAAGCGGAAGAAAGTACTCCTTCGCGGTTTGGTAAACCATTTGATCTTTATATGAATTATTATTATCATAATCATCAGTGATTAGTCTTTCCGGTTTAGCTAATAAATTGTTTTTGTGAATTTCTCAGGGCGTCGGTTGTGGGTATAGTGTATGGTTATGCAGCGGTTTTTTCATCGAGTCTTCTTGTTCCAATGGCTTCTCATGCGCTTAACAATTTGGTGGGAGGTTTGCTGTGGCGATATAGTAGTAGTAGTAGTTCCAAACTCAAATCATTGGAGTGAAAGTTACATTAGATTTATTAAGGGGCGTAAAGAAAAAGCTTTGACTATTAAGGGTTGTTTTTGTGAAATACTTAATACTTATAGTGGTTACTGCAATTTTATTACACCAATGCGTCGTGTCACATCAAAAGAAGACAAAATGAGAAAAATATTTATGAGTTAATGACGTGTAAAGGAGAAAACCAATCATAAAATTTCGACTTTTTTCAAAAAAAAAATGAAAATTGTATTCATAAAATACTGTATAGTCCACTGTTGTTGTTAAGAAATATATATTCCCTCTTGATTATCTTAATTAGTGTATGATTATATGATTACTGATGCTTAATTAGTAGGCAGAAATTATTTTTAAAAAAAATAATTAAAGCAAAGAAAACTGTACAAGAGGAAGTGTTTGGTGGTCAAAAAAGTCAGTAGATGAACAATGGAGAGACAGAGACAGAGACGTCCTTCTGTGACTCGCTAAAATTCTTTAAAGTTGAATTCTTTTTATCTTAATTTTGTGATAAATAAGTTTCTTTATTAGATTTGGCTTCACACTTTACCTTGACATTAAAGCAACACAGCCTTTGAAACCAAAACCAAATTATCTCAGAATCAGAGTTTTAGTAGAGAGAGAGGGGATGCAAGCAGAAACATGGTGAAAGGATGCGCAAAAGGAGGAGGTTGTCCTAGCGATTACGTCGCCGTTGCCGTAGCTGTCCTCTGCTTCCTCGTGTATGCTCTCTCTCTTTCTTCTTCCTTTTCAAATCCTTTGCTCTTTGTTTTGAAGATCTGCCTATACTGGGTTTAGGTGTTGACTCTTTATACTTGGGTCGTCTTCCTCTAAAAATTTCAGATTTTGCGATTATAGAATTATGTTCATATGATGTCTCTAGCTGTTTCTGTCTTTTTGTCTTGTAACTGTTTGATGTTATGTCTCTTTGGATTTACTTTGTTCATATCTCCCAAAGGATCTAGCTTTTACTTCTGTATTCAGCTCTTTTGCTGGGAAAAAGGGAATTAATGATAGCAAAGATGAATGTGTATATCTGATTTGATTCATTTTTGTTTTTAATAATCAGGCTTCTATGGAGATCGTTGTTACCATGTGTAATACACAAGGCTCCTCGTACTAACAGTAGCAGTTTCTGGATCCCTGTCATTCAAGTCTTCTCCAGCTTCAACCTCCTCTTCTCCATTGTGGTTTGACGACTACTTCATTATTTCATTCTTCTCAAGCATCACTTCTTTTGTAAAGTTACTGACTGTTGTTTATTGTTTTCAGATGTCAGTCAATCTTCTTCAGTTCAAGCCGCAACATTGGCGGCGTTATTGTTATCTTTGGGCAGGTTCTAGTTCATAATCAAGTGGACCTAATATATCTAATCAGTTGTACAGTTTTGATTAATGTAAATGTTTGGTTTCAGTGTGGGTCGAAGGACCACTTGGATTTGGTTTGCTCATGAGCTGCCGTATAACTCAGGCCTTTCAACTTTACTTCATTTTCGTCAAGTAAGGATAATACTAAAACAAAAACTTGCTTCCAGTATCTACTTTCATCTCTATTAGTCTAATTGTGTGTTCATGCTATTCGGTTGTATTCTAGGAAACGTCTACCACCTGTAAAGTCATACCTTTTCCTCCCCCTTGTTTTATTGCCATGGATCTTTGGCTCTACAAGTAAGCATTCCTCTGTGATCTTTATTATTGTTTTATTGTTCTTGGTTATATAATGTTATGGTTTTGTTTTGGTTTTTTAGTTATCCATGCAAGAAAGCCTCTCAACAATGAATGCCACTTGGGTCTTGAATGGACTTTCCCAGTTGCAGGGCTTCATGCTCTTTACGTCCTTGCTTTAGTTGCATTCACAAGAGCAATCCGTCATGTAGAGTTTCGTTTTGATGAGCTTAAAGATCTCTGGAAAGGGATCCTCGTCTCGGCTGCTTCAGTTGTTATATGGGTAACAGCTTTTGTGTTGAATGAGATTCTCACACAAATCTCTTGGCTTCAAGTCGCTTCAAGATTTGTACTCTTAGTCACGGTATGAATTATCTCTAAGCAAAAGATTCTCCGCTTGTCATCATACATTTTGCAATTGAATAAGTATGTGTGTTTTGTTTGTAGGGTGGAGTTCTGGTAGTTGTCTTCTTTTCAATCTCGAGCAACCAACCTCTTCTCTCTCAAATCAGCTTGAAGAAGAAAGATAACTTTGAGTTTCAGAGAATGAGTCTAGCTCTAGGCATACCTGATAGTGGATTATTGTTTCGAAAGGAGGAGTTCCGACCTGTTGATCCTAATGAGCCACTTGATAAGCTTCTTCTCAATAAAAGATTTCGCCAATCTCTTATGGAGTTCGCTGATAGGTACTGTGTTTTGATGTCTTTACTCATTGTTCATCCCCTGCTTTAGACGTTTGATATGAAGTTATATATTGTTTAGCTGCTACGCTGGAGAAACGTTGCATTTCTATGAAGAAGTTTATGAACATGGTAAAATCCCAGAAGGTGATTCCATAAGAAGAATCTACATGGCTCGACATATCATGGAGAAGTTCATTGTTGCAGGTTTGTTTAGCTATCTTCTTTATTCTTCTTCATGAACTGGTTTTAAGTGTTGTCTCTTTAAACTGCAGGAGCGGAAATGGAAGTGAACTTATCACATAAAAGCAGGCAAGAGATCTTAACCACTCAAGATCTAACTCACCCTGATCTCTTCAAGAACGCATTAAACGAAGTGATGCAATTAATCAAGATGGTAAATTAACATCTCTCTCTCTTCTCACTCTCTTCCCCTTTAATGAAAAGCTGATTCTCTATTTCTATGTGGTCTGTTTTTTTTTCTTTAATGATATTGAAGAATCTGTTGAGAGATTACTGGTCATCAATCTACTTCATCAAGTTCAAGGAAGAAGAAGGATGCGATAAGGAAGGATGGAGTTTCTCTCCTCCAAGGATAAGTTCAGTTCAAGGCTCTGATGATCCTTTCTATCAAGAACATATGTCAAAGAGTCCCACTTCCAGATGTAGTAGTCCCGGTTAAAGAATCTAAACCGGTACAACACCTAGAAAGTATTTTGATGTTTATAGCAAATCTTAGCTCATATATAATCTCTCCTTCACATCTTATGTACATGTTCTCACTCTTGTTAATTATATACCAGACTGAAAGAGGAAATGTCCGGTTGCAGTTTTGGTTTGGTTTGAATGTATTCCTGATCAATTATGGAAGACAAACCTGATTTTTCCTTAAAATTTGCTATAAACTAAACAACCTCTAGCAAAGTTATTGTATAAAATTTATATTTGGAAGGGGCTTTTGGTCCGGTGGCAAAAGGTTAAATCTAGACATTGCTTAGAACAAATAAAGTGATTGGGATTTCGTAGATCTTGACTCTCGTGATCATTTCCATGTCTTAGCAGGATGTATGATAATGATAATATATAGTATGATGATGTTGCATCACATGTTTATGTGCCGGACATCACATATCCACATTTGTTTCACGTGGCAGAAACATCTTAACACGTTCACTTACACATTCAGAACCCAACCCATAAAAAGAAGTTTTTTTTTGTTTATAAAATAGAGAGTTCAACCTTTAGTCTAGAACGTTAATGGCCATGTAAATGAGAGTCTTGTAAATAAGAATACAAATTATCTATATAGGTAATAGTCTTGTCAATGAAAAAAGTTTTCCGTTTGAGATGATAAACATAATGATTCTCATCAATATGGATATATTATTTCCCAAAGAAGTTTTTTCTGTGCCGTCTACAACAACGTTTTGGTCAAATACTCAAATGTATGTGGCAATTATTGAGTATCGTCACTTTGCAAGTCTTGATGATATTCTTGTCAGGACAGTGTATAATACTGAAGGGAATCTTTGTAGTTTACGTTTCACCTAACTAGTTAATTCAATAGTTGTTAAATAGTAGTTAACTATTTACTTATTGTGTTTTGCGTTCCAAAACTAACACCAAAATTCTAATATTTCAAAAATACACAGAACATTGTTGACTTTTAATAATCTATAACCTCTTCCTAATGTTTTAAAACATTTCTAAAACATATACTGTGGTATTTTAAAAGTTGTGGGAACTAGTGTTCCTTTTAAATAATCATATCTCAATTTTTGAGTTTCAGTAATTGTTTTTCAAAACATTTTTGTTGAATTTCATACACAATATTTAGTTTTAGGTTAAAACTTAATTGGTATAGTAGTTTAAATTTGACCGGTTAATCATCTCAACAACTAAATTTTAAGTAGACTTGGCTTGAAAATATGTTTTAAATGAATTTGTAAGAGCACTTCCAATGTATTACTTTTTCATCTTTAAAATGGAGTAACTTTAACTGAATTAAGTTTTATTCTAATATTCCATTTTGAAATGAAAAATAGAATAATGAACAAAAATAAATCTATTATCCTATTTATAAAGTAAATCAATTTTAATATGTTATAGAATAAAAATGGAGTAAAATTAAAGCATTTATTACTTTAAGCTCAATTTTAGAATGACAAATAGAGTTAAATTATAAATGCTTTAATTCAAATTATAAGTTTTCAGTTATAAATTTTATATTAAATTCATTTACAGAATAAGAAACTTTGTAAAATTATTCTTATCATAAGGGGCACTCTGTACATGTTGGGCAAGTTTTTGCAAGTTGAGGAATGTTTATTACCGAACTCTTGTTATGGCTTGAATATTTGGTTTCTTTTTCTTTTATTTTATTTTATTTTATTTATTTTGCTAAAATTTGGTTGGGTATTTAGTTTTCCTTCTTTTTACTATATTACCAAACATTTATTCAAATCTCACATATGAAATCATCATGATTCACGACCATTGAATAAGATCAACAGAAAAAATCATTGTTTTCCTATAATGTTTCTGTTTGGTGTTGTTATCTTCACTTGGAAAAGACGATATGCAAATGCAGATGGGAATATTCTTGTAGATGAAGCCACAACTTGCACTTTATATTGTAACTTGCCAGCTTGGTATTGCTTCCAAGCTTATACATACATCTTCTTATCAATATTCGTTATAATTTACAAAGTTACACATTTTCATCCACCATTAAAACAACCGGTTCTACTCAATTTGGTAATTTCATTATAAACTAAACATGAAACTCAAACTATAACCTTGATTCAAGAAACTGAGTTTTCATCAGAGAGAATCATAGTAAAGGACAAGAAAAAAAAACTAATTGAAGATGTCATGTAATAATCATAGTGGATAACCATGTCAGGCATTATAATGATATATTAACAAAAAAAATTAGTAGTAATCTTCACTTTTATTCTAAACTATTAAAACTATAAAGAACCGTTGGATGAGGATAGCTTGTGCGACCACTCAACCCCTGTTTTGTCTGCACACGTATGTTATGTATACATGTATTGAAATCATCACGATGTTATATACTCCATTACAGTTATGCGTGGCATATATACACATAAGATTCATCAGAAAGAGAGATTTTTAATTTGCTTTATAAAACCGCATAAAGAGACAGACACCACATCTTTCTTTCCTCTTCATTCAATTCCTTTCCTCAACGCAAAATTTGCAGACTTTCCGTTATTGTGATCGCCAATTCTCTAGAAAACATCCTCCGATCATTCTCCGATCAGACAACAAAACCAAACAAAACAAAAGCCTGTTCCACTGTCTGAATAATTCTGAGGTTTGATTTTTGTTCATGATGAATTGATGGTTTGTTGCAGATGGGTTTTCAGAAAGTTTGTTCCTTTTTTGTTGTTTTAACATGTAAATTTAATTACAACTTCATTGAATCTGAGTGGATGATCAAATTGTGGTGTTAACATATTAAAATCAAATATCTCTATCTCTGAAGATCGGTTTGGTTTATCTGGGTTTGTGTGTTGTTGATCGTGGTGGTAAGGTCAAAACTTAAGTTTCCGTGTGCAGAGGAGAAGGACAAGTCCTTTGCGTGTGACCAACTGTTTTCCTTTTTTTCTCTTCTTCCGTATCAGATCCATCTTTCTTCTCAATAGAATAATCCTTTTTATCATTATTGATCACTCCACTTCTCTTCCAAGTTTCCTTCTTTCTATTATTGTTCCTATTTTGTTCACAGATTCTTTCTCTGTGCTTGATTTACAAACGAGAAAAAAGTAACTTTTCTTGTTTATAACCCATAAAGTTGCTTCCTTGATACCATTTTAATGACATTTGAAGATTATGACTTGGATCCTTACTGGTTTGTGTTTCCTCTGTAGGTCAAAAGCTTTAGAACAATACTGGACTACAAGACTTGCAGGTAAGTTTAGAGTCTTGTTGTGTGTTTTTTGTTGTCCTGTTTTAAGCAAATCAAAATGTGATTTGACTTAATTATGGATTTGTAGATTAAAAACATGGATGCTACATCAAGTGGAACCCCAGGTTTACAGTATCATACCATACCAGAACAACCCGCTTCTCCTCCTGTGAAGAGGCAAAAACGTCAATGCTTTGGAGAGGCAACTCCTGGAGAGTTTCCTTTAGCAGCTAATCCTTCCATTGTCCTTCATGTTCTCACTGAATGTAGATTGGATCCTCGTGACCTCGCCAATCTTGAGGTTCTTCTCGGAAAAAACCTGAATCTTATACTTTAATTTCAAGGATTTGATGTTTTGTTGTTGTTGTTGGTTTAGGCAACATGTTCGTTCTTTAGCCAGCCAGCAAACTTTGCACCGGACTGTAGTTTATCCCTACCAGAGCTCGCTGCTCTCGACATGTGTAACAAAAGGGTGATTTTCAAGCCGATGGATGAAGAAGAACGTGAAGAAATGAAACGTAGATGCGGAGGGTCATGGAAACTTGTACTTAGGTTCTTGCTAGCTGGTGAAGCGTGTTGTAGAAGAGAGAAGTCTCAAGCTATTGCTGGTCCTGGTCACAGCATTGCCGTCACTTCAAAGGGCCAAGCTTATACTTTCGGTTATAATAACTCTGGACAGCTAGGTCATGGCCATACTGAAGAAGAAGCTCGCATTTTACCCATCAGGTATATACATCATTGAATGTTACTAGGCATCCGGGTTTGGTTAGTTCGATTCAACATAAATCTTACCGAACTAACCCGAAATAAAGTTCAGTTCGGTATTCGGTTAGTTCGGTTTTTGAAAATCCTACCAAAGTTTTTTATTTTGTTTGATTTTGCTTAAATTTTGTTAATTTTTCAGATAAATCCGGTTAGTTTTGGTTCAAGTTTTGTTGGTTCGGGTTTTTAGTATGGTTTGGGTATAACTTTTGTAAGAAAAAAACTGAAGTAAGTGCGAACTGAACCAAAAACTGATTTAAAAAACCGAAGTTTTGGTTTGGTTCGGTTCAAAATCTTAGTCCTAAGTGTTACAACCAAAGAGAACCGGAAGATGGTTTCACTTAAAGTTGTTAATACCATGTGTTGTGCAGATCATTACAGGGAATCAGAATCATCCAAGCAGCAGCTGGTGCTGGCCGCACAATGCTGATAAGTGACAGTGGAAACGTTTACGCGTGTGGGAAAGACTCCTTCGGTGAAGCTGAATACGGAGGTCCAGGTTCTAAAGAGGTTACAACTCCTCAGCTTGTAACATCTCTAAAGAACATATTCGTTGTGCAAGCGGCTATTGGTAACTTCTTCACTGCTGTTCTCTCACGAGAAGGGAAGGTTTATACATTCTCTTGGGGCAACGATGGTAGACTCGGACACCAAACCGAAGCTAATGATGTCGAGCCACGTCCTTTGTTAGGCGCTCTTGAGAACGTACCCGTTGTGCAGATTGCTGCTGGCTATTGCTACCTTCTTGCATTAGCTTGTCTACCAAACGGCACCATGTGAGAGTTACTTCTTTATACACTCTTTCCGGTTAACTTAGACCGGTTCTGATGTAATACCATGTTTTATATCAGGTCGGTTTATTCGGTTGGTTGTGGATTGGGAGGCAAGCTAGGTCACGGGTCGAAAACTGATGAGAAGTATCCTCGGCTTATAGAGCAGTTTCAGGTGTTGAACATTCAACCTAGGGTAGTTGCGGCTGGCGCGTGGCATGCGGCGGTGGTAGGTCAGGATGGTAGAGTGTGTACTTGGGGTTGGGGAAGATACGGTTGCTTAGGACACGGGAACGAGGAGTGTGAATCAGTGCCTAAAGTCGTTGAAGGGCTAAGCCATGTCAAAGCGGTTCATGTAGCAACAGGAGACTACACTACTTTTGTGGTGTCAGAAGATGGAGATGTTTACTCGTTTGGTTGTGGTGAATCTGCTAGTCTCGGTCACCATATAGCCGTTGATGAACAGGTTAGGATTTATGTGTTTTAAGACTTGCGTTGCAAGCTAATTTGATTCTTATGTTTTTTTTTTTGGTTTATTAGGGTAATAGAAATGGGAATGTGCTGAGTCCAGCGGTGGTAACATCGCTGAAACAAGTGAAGGAGAGGATGGTTCAGGTTAGTCTAACGAACTCGATTTATTGGAACGCTCATACGTTTGCGCTTTCGGAGTCAGGGAAGCTATTCGCGTTTGGTGCGGGTGATAAGGGTCAGCTTGGAGCTGAGCTTGGTCGTGACCAGACAGAAAGGTGTGTACCTGAAAAAGTAAACATCGATCTCAGTTAGCGGTTGCATGGTTTGTCGGCAGGAAAGTTGCGTTTGACGTCAGACAAAAACGCATGGGAGTTGCGTTTTAGTAAGACTTTGGAAGGTTTGTACAAAAGGGGGGGGGGACATAAGTTAAGGAACTTGTCTTAACATTTCATTTGTTGTAATAGGGTTTTAGATTTATTCTAATTGTTCATGTGTCATGTTTTAGGTTTAACAATTGTCGAATAATTTCAGTTTCTCCATTTATTGTAAGGTTCATATTCTTATTTCATTTGTATAGAAAGCGTCAAGGCTAATAAAATTATGGTTACTTGTTAAACACGGGAATGAAACACAAATGAAGATTTAATTTAAATGTAAAACTAGTCAGATCGGTTCCATTGGCATTAAGTTAAGTGGGAAGATTACCATCATTTTTGCTTCTATGTTTATTTATCTTTTTGTAAGACCTAAATTTTCATGTAATAAGAAATACATTCTTTGAAAAAACATGTAGGGAGACTAGGCATGCGCATTACAATATTTGGTTTGATTTCGAGTATGAACTATTTGGTTCCAAGTATATCGAATAAGTATTTAATAGGTATTTATAAGATTTCGTTTGGTTTGAGAATTTCTGTTAATTTTCGATTTCACCTTTAGAAATGATGGAAGAACTATGCAAAACTTATCTCAAATCTGTGGAGATATTATAGTCTAGTGGTTAAGATTTAAAGGATTCCACATCAAATTTAAGGTTTAAATTCTAGATTATGCAATTTCTACACTAATAAGGTTTTAATTTTTGAAAAGGTGAATATCGAATTATGCAGATTATTAGAGAAAAAACTTATAAGAGATCTTCAGTATAGCACAAAGAGTATAGTCATCAATATATCTCATATAACAGCTCATGATGATATAGTCAAACATCCCTTATATATTAATCATGAAGCATTCATATATGCACAACCTTGGAGAGAATGCTTACGTGTCAAGCTCACAGAGCTTCTCAGCTTTAATTTTTTAATGGACCAACTTTGCTAGGAATGAAATAATGTAACATTTAATTTCTTACATTTAGAATTATAATATATATATACATTTTTAAGGGACCAACTCTGCTAGGTATAAAACAATATATTTTATTTCCTTAAATAAAAGCTACGGAATTTCCTAATATGATTAACATATATGTATTTAGTGATTATGAATAATACATACTAGATGATAACCCGCGCGCATGCGCGGGTGAAATTTTTATACTAATATTTATTCATTAAATGGTTTTTAACATTTTGCAATACTACAGTATTTATCGATTAGAAAATGATGAATACAAATGTTGGTATCTTAAATCATCATAGGTCTGGACGTTTGAGACTTCGTCGGTTTTATTTTGATTGACACGTATTTTCAGATTTTGGTACTATTTTCATAAATCTTATTTGAATTTTACTAATTATCGGATTGGATTCATTTTGATCTTCTCAATTCAGTTTGGATTGGATTGTAACCAATATCTGAAATCATCCCAAAAAATATTTCTTAAACATTAAAAGTTGACAAAAAATCAAAATATTTAAACTATTAATAAATTTAATTTAAAATTAGTTAAATTATCTAAACAAACTAAAAGATATTAAAAAAAAGAAGCAAATAAAACAAACTACAAAAAATCTTTCAAATACTATAATTTGTATCTACTAACCTCAAACATTTTCACTGAATTTTTTTAAATTAACATATTTATAGTATGAATATCTACTAATGATACTTCATATTCGTACGATTTATGATAATTTGTATCTTCTTTGGAAAAAAACAAAGTTAGATTTTATGATAATTTGTATTTTCTTATAGGTTAGATTTTTAAAATTTTTAAACGACCATAAATAACTAAAAATAGTAAAATCCCACATTGAAAATTTTATGATCAATGGTTTAACTTTGTTTTTTTCTAAAGAAGATACAAATTATCATAAATCGTACGAATATGAAGTATCATTAGTAGATATTCATACTATAAATATGTTAATTTAAAAATTTCAGTGAAAAGGTTCGAGATTAGTAGATACAAATTATAGTATACAAAAGATTTTTGTAGTTTGTTTTATTTGCTTCTTCTTTTTTAATATCTTTTAGTTTGTTTAGATAATTTAACTAATTTTAAATTAGATTTATTAATAGTTTAAATATTTTGATTTTTGTGTCAACTTTTAATGTTTAACAAATATTTTTTGGGATGATTTCAGATATTGGTTACAATCCAATCCAAACTGAATTGAGAAGATCAAATCGAATCCAATCATATAATTAGTAAAATTCAAATAGGATTTATGATAAATATACCAAAATCTGAAAATACGTGTCAATCAAACTAAAACCGACGAAGTCTCAAACGTCCAGACCTATGATGATTTAAGATACCAACATTTGCATTCATCATTTTATAATCGATAAATATTGTAGTATTGCAAAATGTTAAAAACCATTTAATGAATAAATATAAGTATGAAAATTTCACCCCGCGCGCATGCGCGGATTATAATCTAATGAATCTGTATAAGGCATGTAAAATTGTCGGTTGTAATATTATCTATGTAGTATTTCTCATAGTTTGTAATGAATAAACGAAAGAGTGTTAAAACAAAAAACTTATCTCAAACCAATGTTTCGGTTGTTAAATATGGGCCGGGTGAGAAGCATGGGCCCATACATGTCCAGAGAATCACGTGTCTTTCACGCCCTGGTGAAACCAGACGCGCGTGGATGTACGTTCATTTTTCTCCATAACTCTGTAGTTGCTGATAAAGAGTGATTTGCAGAGAGAATGAAGGTCCAACGGTCAACCTTTTTCGCAGTCAACGTTAAATTAAACCTTCATCACTTTCACTCCTGTCAGGTCAAATCTTAATTCGTTAAAGTTCCGTTTTTTATTCACTTCCGACACAACCCATTTGCAAATTGCATCTATAGAATATTCACAGTGTAAATTTTTTTTCAGGGAATTGGTGTATCAGAGCTCGATTCTGTGACGAGATTACTTGATAGGAAATGGGGATTACAGAGTCCCGCAACTCCAATTCAGCAAATCAGTGTTTCTTCTGCTAATAAAGGCACTTGTAAGGAGCTTTCCTTCTTGAACAACACTCGTCCACGTCTTGGAGATGAAGTGGACTCAAAAGGATCTTCTTTTTACATTCTTAGAGATGATCTTTTACATCCTCTTGTCAATGGTAACAAAGCTAGAAAGCTTGATGCTTTGTTACCACTTCTTCAGGATCATAAAGTCACTGACTTGGTGAGAAATGTTGTTATCCTTTTTTTTAAATTGGGTTCTTTGAAAAAAAATGGTTAAAGCTTTGCTTTTTGAATGTTAGGTTACATGTGGAGGTTGTCAGAGTGCACATACAGCTGCTGTTGGTAAAAAAAAAGAAGTCAACACCTTTTGTTGTTGAGAAGTAAATGGAATGATGTTTTGAGTGTAAGTTGTTTGTATGTTATTTACAGCTGTTTCGTGTGCTGAGAGAGGTGTGAGATCACATTTGCTTCTCCGTGGAGAACAGCCTGAGGTTTTGACTGGTTATAATCTTGTTTCAACTATGTATGGAAACGTTGTGTATGTTCCAAGATCGAGGTATGCTAATAGAGAGGAAATGTTGAGAACTCATGCTGATCTTGTCGCTGGGGAAGACGGTTCTGTCTTATGGACTAAAGACCTTGAGGCTATGGATTGTTTTCCGAGCTCCAAAGCTTCTCCTAGAAAGGTTCTGATCGTTAATGAAGGCGCAGGAGATGCTCTTGCCTTACTTGGTAAACACCAAATCAATGTGGAAAGAACTGATCAAGATTGTTGTTTATGTGTGTTTTTTTTTGTGTCGCTATGCAGGTATGTTCCGGTTAGTGAAGTATTTGTCACAAGATCATTTACTTGGGAAGAAGAGAAGGGTCAAGTTTGTAGTTGATTCTGGTACTGGAACAAGTGCTGTGGGGTTAGGAGTTGCAGCTATGTCTTTAGGGTTAGTCTTTTGTTCACAAGACTTATTGATACGCTTTTGTGTCTGTTTCTTTTACAGCTTATGTACATTTCTTCTCAGGCTTCCATGGGAGATCAATGCAGTGATGTTAGCTGATACACTCGAAAACTATAAGAGACATCAAGATCGCTTGTTAGAGGAATTTACTAGGCAGTTTCTTCCCTCCATCGTTTGTAGCAGCTTGGATATGATCAAATGGGTAGAACGTCAACGTCCAAGAAAGTATGATTCTTTTCTCTGTTAAAGATATACTAAAAGTGATCATTTTCACTTTAAGTTTGAAGCTTGATGATGATTTGATCTAACAGTTATCTCTTTCCTTTTGTTCTTGCAGATTTGGGAAGGTCTTGGAAGGAGAAGTGGAGATGTGTAGGAAGATTGCGCAAGAGACTGGTGTTTTAGTGGATCCAATGTATACATTAGCTGCTTGGGAGACAGCAACGGAGCTTGTGGAGGACGAGGAATCCAGCATTGTAGTGATGCTTCATACTGGAGGCACTCTTGGGATGTTTGGTCTTGCTCAAAGATACAAATCTTGCTTCACTAACTTGAAAGATTAGGCTTTTGTATCATACCATTTAGAAGACTTGAAGAGATATAAATCTTAAGGTTTGGTTTGGTTTGGTTTAACTTTCTAACCCAACCTGAACTCTCTTCCTGAACCTCGTGGCATTGAGATTTCAAGTACATTATCTCTTAACCGAAATCATTTTGGCTCGTTTGGTTTTGTTGGAATTCAATCCGGTTAGAGTCTAGTTCGGTTTAAAATAATGTTTGGTAGAATTAAAAAAATGTTTCAAGATTGAATCTAAATAAAAACTAGGTTTTGATCCGTACATCATATTTGTATTTCTTTTAACTTTAAGAACATACCTAATATTTTTATAGCACATAAAATTGTGATATTAGTATTGGAATTGTTTTTTGTATTGAATTATATTTTGCTTTGTATTTTATACAGTATTTAATGTTTTTTTTTTTTTGTAAAATTACAGTATTTAATGTTATTTTGTAGTTTCAGATTTTTAAACGAACTTTCTAACATTTTGACCATAACTTGGTTTGACATTGTACGGTTGCCAAGAAGAATCATATTTGTACTACAAATAAGAAAAAAAAAACTGAACCAAACGTGGTAAGCAAGAAGTTGTGTTAATTAAGTAATATTCTTACCTGGTAAAATAAACGAAGAACAAGATTATGGGTTTGGTCGTTGGTTTTGAGGAGTCTTCTTCTCGAACCCAGATTTTCATGCACGTGTGTTTGGTCACTACTTCGTGTTTAACAACACTTTCTTCACTATACCAATATCCGCGTTGAACAAATTATTTGTTAAAAGTTAAAACACACACAAAACGATTACTTTTAAATCTTGGATTGTTCTATACTCCTATCAATTCTTTTTGTCACCAAATTCTATACTTCTATCACTAGATCTTTTTGTTTTATTATAATGAGCAATATGCATTTTTGGGTCTTGGAAATGAATGTGTAGTGAGTGTAACCTATGCTGAAATGAATATTCGCTTACAAACTTAGAGTTATAAATGCTCAAGCTGTTTACTCTTTAATATCTTAGTTATCAATGTTCATAATATTTTATCTTCTTCAAACTAGACGTACTTTAATATCCAGTTTTATCTTTATTTAAATATTCATTTCATTTTATATTAGGTGTCGTTTTAAAGATTTCTTTTCATTATAAAAGATGTGTCATTTTTTATTTCAAAATTTATTTAAATTTATTCTATATTTATTTTTCTATTGACTAAAATATGGTTAGATATATAAGTAGTTATATATTTACAGAGAATATTTGTAAAATTAGTTGTTTACTTAATCTATATGTAAAAATTTAAAACTATACTTGCTATAAAATAAAAAGAGTATTAAACTTTTAGAGCAGTGATCTAGTTCTATTGGTAAAGTCTTAAAATTATAAAACAATATTTATGTGGTGATTAAAAATTTACTCTATAGCATAATTAATATCTCCTCTGTTTTTAAAAGATCCATATTTTAATTTGTTCACATTTTTTAGTAAAACACAATAAATTTTCATATTTTTTGTATTTATTTTCTTTCTATAATTTTAAACAAATAAAAATTTAATTAATGCAATTAAGTTTTTTGAAGTTTACAAATAGTTAATAAAACATACATTGAAAATGTAAAAGTTAAATCTTTTAGAAACAATTTTTTTTTCTAGAATATATTTTTTTAAAGAACAGAAGGAGTATAAAATACTATGAAACGAAAAGAGTATTAAACTTTTAGAGTAGTGATCTGGTTCTACTGGTAAAACTTTAAAATTATAGAACAACATTTATGTGGTAATGAAAATTTTACTCTATAACATCAGTTTGTTTGATGAATGTGAGTGTATGTTTATAAAATTACCGTTCAAGATATTTGCTAAAAGTAGGTTTGTAGCAACAGCTACGAGTGTAGCTAAATATTGCCGACGTCAAATGATACGCACAGAAGTTGTAAATAACTTAATTATGTATCAGAAAGAAATGCTCCATGGTTATTTTGTTTACGTTGGTTTTTGATGCAGCAAGATATTTGGAAATTATCCAAATATCTTTATTATTCATTAATTTATTTAGATAATTACCTTTTATTTGTATTTTTTATATTTTAATAGTTTTCCTATTTTATCTAAGATTAGGGTTTTTTAGATTTAAGGTTTTATTATAAATAGGCATTCAAGCCTAACGATGTATGGAGACTTTGATAATTAATAAAAGAAGCTTTGCTTTATACCTTGATATAGATTTGATTCAATTCATCTATTTTAAATTGCCTTGAACAAGATTCGATTAAATTCATCTTCTTCAGGAAGTTGGTCTCAAGAAGCTAACGAAAGTAACTCTTGATCGATCCAAGAACATGTCTCGAAGAATCCTAAATTCTTAGATCGACCGTTCACCTATCTATCCGTTACATCAGAATTTAGGGTTATTCAGGTGAACGGATAAACATCGTCTTCATAATGATGAACATCATGTCGACCGTTCACTAAATTCTTATGAACGACTACACGACCTATCTATCCGCTACATCATCGTCTACATCATGAAGTCGACATGATGAACATCGTCTTCATAAACATGGTAGATTGGATCACCATAGATCTCTCGATAAATCTCATGGTTCTCTTCTCTTTCAACAAAAGGACTTTCGTCCAAGATAGGATAGATGCTATTACTCACCATGACATCCAGAATCGCCTTCGATTGAGAAACCAAAGGAACGCAGCTTTGATACCAACTGATGTAGCGGATAGATAGGTGAACGGTCGATCTAAGAATTTAGGGTTCTTCGAGACCTGTTCTTGGATCGATCAAGAGTTACTTTCGTTAGCTTCTTGAGACCAACTTCCTGAAGAAGATGAATTTATTCGAATCTTGTTCAAGGCAACTTAAAATAGATGAATTGAATCAAATCTATATCAATGTATAAAGCAAAGCTTCTTTTATTAATTATCAAAGTTTCCATACATCGTTAGGCTTGAATGCCTATTTATAATAAAACCTTAAATCTAGAAAATCCTAATCTTAGTTAAAATAGAAAAACTATTAAAATATAGAAAATACAAATAAAAAGTAATTATCTAAATAAATTAATAAATAATAAAGATATTTTGATAATTTTCAAATATCTTGCTGCATCAGTTTTCTTCAATGCAAGTTTTTCTTTTCACAGTTTCAAATACTATTTCTTTAAAAAAACTGCACAACCGGAAATTAAAGATGAACATTTTCCACGTACTCAGTATTCGTGTCTCGTAGGGACTTTAATCTACTACATATAGTCATATATTGCCTCGTAAAACCAAGAACCCAAGCCTACAAAAAGTAAGTAGGGGTACTACCGTAACATCACAAAAGGATATATATAATCCAATTTTTTTTTAAAAAAACAACAGTCATTTTCGAGAAACATAAATGCTTATAAATTGGAAAGACATAAAAGAAATAAAACAAAAAATAAACATTTGTTCTCTTCCACTGTCTTGTCTAATGTCTATAGAGTAAAGAGATAGAGACGACATTACCCTATCTCTCTCTCTCACACAATCCAGAAAACTTTCACGTTAACCGGCTAAAAAAACAACAACTCCGGTAAGAAAACAAGAATACCATTTTAAAAATGGAAGATTCTAGACCGTTTCCTTTCGCCGGTAATCTTGACCCTCGAGCTCAAGAGTTCCTCCCACTAAACCCTATCTCCTCACGTTTCTACTATCCGTACACTTCTCCGCCGCCTCCTCCGTCGTACGGATTATCTCAGACAGATCCTAGAGTTTTCACGTTCTTTAATCTCCCACCACATCCAATGATGTTTCCTCCTCCTTCACCTCCACCACCACCACCTCGTCTTTGTTTTAACGGCGTTTCGGCTGTATCTCCACCGTCAAACTCTCCAACGCGATCACTCTCTCTGGTCTACGTGCCCCGTGACGTCACGGAGTCCACGGTGAGACGTGACCTGGAGGTATTCGGCGACGTTCGTGGCGTGCAAATGGAGAGAATATCAGAAGGAATCGTGACCGTTCATTTCTACGATCTTCGTGACGCTAAAAGAGCTGTTCGAGAGATTTGCGGTAGACACATGCAGCACCAAGAAAGACTCGGTGGTGGCAGTAAAGTTGGAAAAAGCGTTTGGACCTCACCTTCATCTTCGGCGCGTGGGTTTGTTTCCGGTAGACCTGTGTGGGCCCACTTTGTAGTTCCGGCTACAAACGCTTTACCCGGTGGTTGTAACCAAGGAACGTTGGTGATATTTAACCTAGACCCTGATGTCTCTTCCACTGCTCTCAGACAGATTTTCCATGTTTACGGTATATGTTTTTTTTTATGTTCCTGTAAGGTTTTAGTTATGTTTCCTCGATTTGTGGATATGTCAGGAATTTAAAACATTTTACAAAGACTAACAACATTTTCAACTACAATATTATATCAATCATACCCTTTTTACTAGCTTTTGGCATATGGATACTGTTTGATTATGTGAGAGCACTTGTTGATGTTGTAACTTTTGTTTTCAGGTTCGATCAAAGAGTTGAGAGAGACACCATACAAGAAACATCAAAGATTCGTCGAGTTTTACGATGTAAGAGATGCAGCGAAAGCCTTAGACCGAATGAATGGTGAAGAGATTTATGGGAAGCAAGTTGTGATTGAATTTAGCCGACCAGGCGGGTGTAAGAACAAGTTCACGCCGTTTAGGCAGCCGAAGTTACCATTTCAACCGCGACCAATTCTAACCCCTACTCCTTTGAGGGAGTCTATTACTCTGATGGAAGATAATAGCAAGAATGTGACGAGCCCTAATAATGGAGTTGATGTTGTTGAAGCTTCTATGCGTGAGTTGTGTAACGTCGAGGATGAAGCAGAATCTGAAGTAAAGAGCAAGAACGTGGCTAAGTTGGGGAAGAAAAAACAGATGAAGAGGATGGAGCTAAGTCAGTTTCTTATCAGTGAAGAAACCATTGATGTTCCAAGTTGTAGAGATCCACGTACCACTTTGATGATCAAGAACATACCAAACAAGTACAGGTTCGGATTTATGATATAATTATTAGTATTTTTAATTTTTTTAAAAAAATTTAGTTATCAGTATTATATAGAGTAGGGAGGCTAAGGACTAAAATCTTTTAATTAAAGTATTTATGTGGATTTAAAGTTAGAAGCTTTTTCAAATTCTAGGACGGTTAGATCTTTGTAATCTTTTTATTAAAATATTCACATGGATTCGTGTGTTAAGATGCTGTTTATATATATTCAAAGATTTATATTCTAGATAAAATGCTCTTACGCTATGTTCCATCAATTCAAAGCTTTTAATTATCTTCGTGTTTGATATTGCATTAGTCGGCTAACATTTTGCCTGATGCTCTTATATTTCAGATTCCTATAGGTTTTATTTATATGAGATTCCACTTTAATTTTTAAAGGTAATGTTTTTGGTTTTATATAGTCAAAAGTTGCTGTTGAATATGCTGGACAATCACTGCATTCACATCAACGAAACTATCACTGAGGAGAGGGACGAACAAGAAGCTCATCATCAGCCACTTTCTTCTTATGATTTTGTGTATCTACCAATGGACTTCAAGTAATCAAACCAGAACTTTATTGACAATATAGTATCGAAAATATTTGTATAACTAACTAATATCATAACTCTTCTTGTTGGTTGTGCTATTAGCAACAAGTGCAATGTTGGTTATGGGTTTGTAAACATGACATCTCCGGAGGCAGCATGGAGGCTTTACAAGGCGTTTCATCTTCAACGTTGGGAGATTTTTAATTCGCGAAAGATTTGCCAAGTCACATATGCGAGAGTTCAGGTATACATGTATACATAGACATTAGTGTTTTGAAATCGTATACCAAACTATAAGCTAAAAATTTCAATGTTACAATGTGATTATTCTGTTACTTTTGATCGTACAAAACAGGGTTTGGAGGATCTAAAGGAACACTTCAAGAGCTCAAAGTTTCCGTGCGAGGCTGAACTTTACCTTCCGGTGATCTTTTCGCCTCCTAGAGATGGGAAGCAGTTAACGGAACCTGTGTCCATCCACATCAACGACAGCACCGGGCTCAATACTAGACATCATCTTGAGCCTATGGACGGTCAAGATCACTCTGTGGGTGGATCATGTTGCGGCAGTGACAATGATAACAGTCAGACTCAGGAAGATGGATTATCCGGAAGTAGCGTAGACGGTGGGCGGAGTTTAACGGTGGTAGGAGAGACGTCTTTCTAGATGTTGTTTGTAATGTAAACCATAAAATATATGAAGTGTAATTATACAAATTATGTTATTTAGGTTTAATGCTTATCGTGTTTGTCTCAAATCTGAATTTTATTTTGTCACTCGACGCGATTCATTTTGTTTTGTTATCATGCAAAATTATTTTTGGTGATAATTTGGGTGAATGAGTCGACTAAAGTAATAATGAGTTTCAACTTCTTTATCTAAATGAATTTCAACTTCTTTAACTTCCTTTTTCTAGAACTTTTGCATGCAGAATGAGAATCGTCTATATTTTGTATAGTCATTTCTTGCTCTCTTGGATGGTGTGATGTTGGATGGATACATTCAAAAATATGAACAAATTGTATTAAATTTAAAAATAAAAATGTCATAAATAATATGTCATTCGAGCTAATAATAACAATTACAACATGTTGTTTTCGAACACTAACTATTTTTGTTGGTTACAACTAAGAATACGTCGATCACACAACCAATTTGTTGGTATTTATTTTATAAAATAAATACACAGTTATTTATCAAATGACGTTAAAATGCATATTGTTTCATTTAGGAAAAAGGATTAAAAAGAAAATATTAGGCAATTGAAATTCATGATTTTTTATTATTAAATGATAAGGAGGAAAATGGATTGTAAACTAGAAATGGTTGACCTAGGGTAAGAGTCCTTTTTCAGGCAAAGATACTAGTCTTTATTCTAGTGTTAATAGCTGTCTTATTCAGTGACCTGCTGAAAGGGACAGAAGATAACTCTGTGCTACTGAGATAATCACAATCCGGTTCGTGGGGTTTCGACACGTGATGTTATCTTCACCGTTCGATTCTCCATGGCAGGGTTGATAGTGATCGTTGACTCCAACTTGCAAATCTTGTGATGTAGATTTGTGAAAGATTTCGAAAACTTTTTTTAGGATGACGAAAAGAACAATGAAATTCAATTACAAATGGAAATCATCCCTTAGTCATTATGCCATTTTAGATTTATTGAGTCTGTAAAAAATAAAATTTCCATCCACTTCGTAATGAATATCATTTTGACTTTTAAGTGTGTTTGGTATAAAATTTATCATAGTAGATCACATCCAACAACACGAATTCATTTTTTTTTTTTAAAAAAAACAGTTATTTTCAGAAAAAAAAACACACAAAGGATAGTCGACAAAAAGACTAGGTAAGGTCAACCAGAATTAAGGATCTTGACATGGCCTTGTCGTTTAAACATATGTAAACAACATAATATAAATTGAAATTCTAGGTCATAAAACCTATTTTCAGTGGATTTCACAGTTACAAATAATTTTTTTATCAATCATACGTAAGATTTAAATTTAAGAAAATATTTGTTTGTGTTGTAATCCATGTTCACTTAAAAACACAAGAAAAAAAATGAAAAATGAATTGTTTTTTTTCTTTCTTCTTCTCTACATGTAATGCACTAATCCAATATTTCTGCATGTTCACCAAATTGAAACAAGTTATAACAAAGGCGGCCCACTATAAAATTCCAAATTGATTATAATCCCATGAAAATATGGGCCTATAAACATAAGGCCCATTAACTACATTACCCTAATGTTGATCTCTCTATAAGAGCAAAATCCTCAGCAAAACCCTAAAACTAAATCTCAGTCAAGCCGTTGACATTCCAACTTCTTTTTTTTTTTTTTTTCATTCTAACTTCTTCTTCCTCCTATTTTCATAGCTTACTTCTGTTTTCAATTTTGTTTTTGTGGTCATTGAGAATCACTCACTCGCTTTCGAAAGGCGTTGCGCTCTTCGTGTTTGGGATTTACATTTCCCTGAAGGGCGTGTCACCGGAAGCGTACATTAAAAAAATCTTCAATTCGATCGATAAGGTTGCCATATTCGAATTCGTTCGAATTAACAAACCTCGATTCCGATGGCTTGTTTTACCGATTCGCCATCGATTCATCGTGTTGAGAAATTTCGAATCTTAAATTTAATTTATAAAATTCATAGTTTTTGGGATAGGATTTGCTTCATAATGGTGAACTCTCTTAGATATATAAAAAGTGAGGGAAGTTCAAGTTTCCGGAGCAAAGATCAATTTGGCCAGAATTTAAACAGCTCTGTGTTTTTACCTCTTTAATGTTCACAGTGTTACCTGTCTTCTGGTATATATTCCATTTTTACTACCTAATCCCATTTTCATTATACGTTTTCTTTTCCCAAGATCTTTTACCATTGAGCCTTGAACTTGAGCAGACCTTTGATTATTCAATGCCCATTTGTTTTCCTAAGTTATTAATTTGAAGGCCCAAAATTAGTCAAATAAAGTCGGTATTGTCATTTTGATAGATCGTACAATGCTTGATACATATCAAATGTTATACAAATAAATTATTGCAATCAAACTGTACATATTATTAGGGAAAAAACTTACAAGCATGATCTTAACACATTTCAGCCCTGTGAGAGCTAGATGTATACAATCTGGTTAAAAAGATATTTGTATACTTATCTTTCAATACCTTATGAAACTGACAAACTTTCCTGGACAAGTGTCTTCAAGTATGGGCTAACTCGAAGAAACGGTTTTGCTCTAAAGCGACTTCTCGTGCTAGTAATAACCTTAAACCACTGGCTTTTAGGATCACAACTCGCATCTCCTTTCAAACATTTGCAGCTTTTCGTCACAATGCTGTTAGTATCTGAATCCACATCCAAACAAACTGATTCACCATTCTTTGTTATCGACGAGAGTTGCATCTTTGACTCGGACAAAAATTTCCATTTTGAGCAGTAATATTCTGAGAAGTACAGACGCAGCTTCACAGAGTTTCCTTTCTCATAAGCTTTAATGCAAAAGATTTTTTCTTCAGCTAGTGACAAAACCTGATGAGAAGAAAGTCTAAAGCTCTCTGATCTATTACAAGAACCTAGCTTAAGCTCAAATAAGGACTTCCTCACGATGCAAAGTCCACTCGCAGGGTGGAATATTATTTTCTTGGGGTTAGTTTCCTTTAAACCTGGTCCTGAACATAGCAAAGTTGTTTAATTAATGACAATAAAAAACATAAGTGTAACAAAGTTTTTAAACTTAACATGTGTATGTAACAACATAATACCTAACTTGTATTTTTTTATAACTAGTGTAAAAATAAAAAAAACATGTAGCAACTAGCTACTATTATTCTACTAACTTTTAAATAAACAAATCCACAACTCTAATGTATATGGAAATAATCTTTATATATATATAAATACTTAATTGGTTTCATATATGTAACTTATAACAAACTTTTCAAGATCAACTTAGTTTTGTATGGATGTAATGTAATATCTAACTTGCACTTTTTATAACTAGTATCAAAAATATCAAAAATATCAAAAATGCAAATGTATAAGAGCTACAATGACTAGTTGTGTACCTCTAAAAGGAGACTGAATAGCAGAAATCATCTGCATAATGGTTGAGTTCCTTACACTTGACCAACTCCAGTCCAAAACTCCATAAGATTCATCATACCCTATAATTTTATCTCTTACATAATAGCTTCCTGCAAGAGTCCATAACGCCCAATCTAGGTCAAGATCCGCTGCTAAAGCCATAAAACAACTTAGAAACCTATTGTCATTCACATTACTCCCTCTCTGATCAATCCCAAACTCGCTCACAAACAATGGAATCCCTCTCTCGATTAGAAACCCTGACATTTTCATAATGTTATCTGTTTCTCTCCCGCAAATCTTGTTCAAGTTATCCCCTTCCCAAGAACTCCAAAACCCATACCAATGTATCTCAAACACTAGTTTCCTCTTGAAGGTTACTTCAAACGGTTTGTCTCGGAGGAAAGATAAGTCAGTCTCGTAGTTTAAACCCGAGACAATGACAAGAATGTTAGGATTCACGGAGTGGACTGCTTCAGCGCCTTCTCTCATGTACTTGTACCAGTCGTTGATGTTCTGTTTTGAACCTCTAAGCTCATTCCTTAGACTCATACCAACCACATTTGATGAATTAGCAAATATTGTAGCCATTTTCGTTAACCCTCTGATCCAAAGATGAGGGTTTAAATTTTTATCGCCGAAAAAACCGTTTCCATCATTGTCATTGCAACACCAACCAGGTTGGCTTGTGTGGTTGTCTAAGATCACCATTACTCTGTTCTTTCCAAGACAAGAAACCACTTCCTGTTCGAGAAAAAAACAACAATAGAACTCTCATTTTTATTTATAGTGGAACCCTAATTTTCTCTATTCCATTATAATCAGGAAAGACACTAAACTAGTTAAACACAACAAGAAAGGAAAAATGTTAAAGAGAAAAGCAGACAATAAAATCTTGAAACTCAAAGATAGGTTTCAAACTAGATGTTTCTTTCAAGACAAGGTTCATAGAAAAAGTACTACACTTATCTATAACCTCCAGACTATTCTTGGATCAAGAAGGATAAAAAGTCAACCCTTCTTGGAAAATTCTGGAGAAGTATTCTGAATAAAGGGTCAAAACTTTCTTGGAAAAAAGATTTATTACCTGGAAAGCTTTGATCAGAGGAAGATCAAGAAAGTATGGATTATTAGCTTGAAAGCCAGAGATAGCTTCAAGAAGACCAAACTTGCGAAGAGATTGTCTCACACTCATAACCCCAGAGAAAGATTCATCGGTGGCTAAGTAGAGAGGCCAAGTCAATCTCACGCAATTGAACCCCATTGAGACGATCTTCTTGGCAATCAAATCCAAAGGCTGCTTGCTTAAACCTTCCGCCACCGCAGTTTCTAGATGCGAGGGCCAGTTGATGCACGCGAGCTTCACTCGCTGTCCTTTGTTGCCATCGTCCACGATCCAGCGTGAGTCGGTGGAGAGAGGTAAAGCAAAGGTGATGTTGATGATGAAGAAGTGAGGAAGAAGAAGAAGAAAAACAGAGATGAAGAAGAATCTTTCCATTGGTGTCTCTGTTTCAATCTAACTTCCTTTTACAGCTAACATGTATATATATACGTATGCGTGTAGTTCAGACAACGTTCAGTTTATTATTACTTTTGCAATAAGTGGAATGGTCATGTGATTAGTTAAAATTGATTATGTCTTTTTGTTTTAATGTTTTCTTATTAAGCTTTGTCTAAAGACTAGCGCTATGCCTATCTATGATTCTTCTTTTGATAATAAGAAAGTTATGATTCTTTTGTTTCTTTGGGAAATTATTACCCTTGACATTTTGAGGATAACTTGTTTGTTTGTTTATGCTCTGCTAAGCTTTATAATGTATTAAAAATATTGGTAAAAGACAATAAAAAATATTCAAATGTTATGATATATGTTGAAAAAATTGGTAAAAGAAAAAACAATTACTCATTTATAACGAAATAGTCTTTTTTTTTTTTTAACGAAATCTATACTATTATTTGCGAAGTGATTTTTCGCAACGGAACTCTCACGTTAAAAGTTGGAGTGGTTAATATCGTTTATACCTTTAATGAATAAATTATATGAATTAATTAAATATAAAAACGAATTTAAATTTATTTAATTAGATAGTTATTTTAAATAATAACAATAAGAGTTATCCAAAATCTAAAAATATATTTTATTTTTAAAAGATAATTCCTATATATATTGTATTGTTATCCGAAAACTATCTTTTGATAAAATATTTAAAAATTCAAAAGCAGAAAACAAATAATTACATATTAATTAATAAATTATATGAATTAATTAAATATAAAAACGAATTTAAATTTATTTAATTAGATAAGTTATTTTAAATAATAACAATAAGAGTTATCCAAAATCTAAAAATATATTTTATTTTTAAAAGATAATTCCTATATATATTGTATTGTTATCCGAAAACTATCTTTTTGATAAAATATTTAAAAATTCAAAAGCAGAAAACAAACAATTATATATTAATTAATTAAAATTCTTAATATTATATAAGTGAAAAGATAGTATTGAATAATTTTTAAGATAAATATAAAATTTCAAAATGAAAACATAAATAATAATTTATGCTTCTAATTTTTTATATTAATATATTTAATGACAAATAATTATAAAATGCTTAAGCCCGCATGGCGGACAAAACACCTAGTAGTCTTTATTAGAAGCTTCAACTGAAAATAACATGACTTCATGAGTTACTTGATCAATTGTTAATATCAATTATACAGCCTCTTTTTTTTATAGACTTTAACTATTATATCAATTATACAGCCCAATTTATTTATTGACTTTAACGATCTTAAACCACTGGCTCATCGGATCACACGAGCTGTCTTCGCCGTTCACACACTTGCAGTTGGTAGCCACGAGGTTATTGTCTCCATCGACGTCAAGACAAAGCAAGTTATTGGTTGACTTGGCAGCTAAGAGCATATTAGAGGCTGAGATGGTTTGCCATTTCGACAAATTAGGGCTGGAGCAACTAGTCTTACTGAGCTTAACCGGTGCATTCGGTCCGGTGTTCTCCAAGCAAAGAGGCATGTTTTTAAGTTTCAGAGTGTTGTCACTAGTGTAGTCCCATGGTTGTGATTCATTACATAGACCGAGATTGACCTTGGTTGGCTCTGAGAAAGATTGTAGCATGCAAAGACCGGTTAACGGGTGGAAAATAAGATTGTTGGCTTCGGGTTGAGGATCCAGTCCTGGTAAACAAGTTAGTTAACCAGAGAATAAAGAGATGTTTATTAACAAGTTATTGCAACACCTAAAACAGATAAACTTAACAAATCTTGTATGTCATGAAAATAGCTGTTTCAATATATTATAATTATAAATACTAAAACTAGAATCTAAAACATTTATTGAAACCTTATTTCTGAATAATATCTACACTTATATTTTACTGGTTACAATGGTGAAATGTCATTTTCGATATACAACTATGCATATATAAATTGTTGTATATCTAACTTGGTGTAACTAACTAAAGATTGGTTCTGTATCATGTATCCGAAAACTCGAACCCTCATGAAATCTAAATTCTAGATAATTTCAAATCATGAAAAATTATTTACCTTGAAGAGGGGATTGAATGAGAGACAATCTTTGCATGAAACTGTTGTTTCGAACACTTATCCCATCCGAATCCAAGACACCGTAATACTCGGTCATTCCGACCACACCCTCTCTGATGTAATAACTTCCTGAAAGTGCCCATATCGACCAATCAACGTCATGTTCCGCCGCCCAACCTAATATACATCCGATATATCGATTAGCGTTAACGTCCCCGCCTCTCAAATCGAGTCCAAACTCACTAAAAAACACCGGAAAGTCCCGGAGGATGAAACCGCCTCCATCGTCGATGATTTTTAGAATCTCGCCGCATGCGTCGTTAGGGTTTTTAGAACTCCATGTTTCAGTGTTGGTGAAAGCGTATCGATGGAGCTCAAAGACGAGTTTACCCGAGAAAGTTAGGTTTACGGGTCGTGTTCGGACGAAAGAGAGGTCTGTGTCGTAGCTGAAGCCAGAAAGGATTACAAGTACGTTAGGGTTTGCTCCGTGAACTGCTTCGGCTCCTTGTTGCATGTACCTACGTGCATGCATATATGTAATGGTTTTCTTTTGAACTTTACATATATGATCTATTTATTTAAAGAAATTCTCTTTAATAGTGTTTTAGTTTATTTTTATAAAAATAGCATTCAGGAAAAAATGAGCAAAGTAAATTTTTATTAAATGGTAAATATGTATTTTTACTCTTGGATTAACTAATATAGATTTAGGTTTGAGAATTAAGGGATGTGGTTTTTGGTTTAGGGTTTCAAATTTTAAAAAATAAAAAATACTATAAATATTACAAATTGTAAAATAAAAAAAAGTTATTTTGATCGTTTTATTTTTTAGAGTCTATTTTTATGATAAAAACTTAAAAAAAGCTAGTTAAGAGCCATTTTTTTATGTAACCGTTATATTATCAATTCAATCCAGAATAATAAGAAAGTTAAGCAGAGTATAAAAATATACGTACTTAAAAGAAAAATAACAACGTACTTGAACCAAACGTCGATATTTTGTTTAGGTCCTCTAAGTTCGTTTCTGAGGCTCATACCAACGACATTGGATACATTTTTGAAGGTTGTGGCTATTTTGGTCAGACCGGCGATCCATGTGGCAGGGTCAAAGAATGTATCTCCAAAGAAACCGTTGCCGTCGTCGTAGCCGCAGCACCACCCTGGTTTGGTCAAGTGGTTGTCTAATATCACCATCACGTTGTACTTTCCCAACGTCGTCACCACCCTCTGCCAAAAAAGAAAGAATTTTGTTTTCTCAAAAGGAAGCCAGTGATTTTTAAAAGACGTTTTTAAAAGTCTACGTACATTCATTTAGCTAGCATGCACATATATACGAGTTAAAATTAAAGTGAAAATCACAAAAAATTTAACGACTATTATTTGAGTAACTATTTATTTTAACTACTACCTTCTAGAACTGTTAATTGTTAGTATAAACTTACACTCATTTATCTCTATATATATATATTGGAGTTCTTTTAAAATTTAAAACATATATAAAAGTCAATAGTATTTAAAGCATAAATGGCTAGATGTATTAATTTTTTATCCAAAAAAATCTGAGAAGTTAGATATTATACCTTGTAAGCTTCAATAAGTGGAAGATCAATCATGGAAGGGTTCTTAGTTTGGAAACCAGAAATGTCAGTGTTCAGACCAAGACTTCGAAGAGAATCCCTCACAGTAACATTAGTAGCCAATGTCTCATTTGTAGCCAAATCAAGTGGCCAAGTTAACCTAACACAATTGAAACCCATTGCAATTATTTTTTCGGCCACGGCATCAACCGGCTGCTTACTCAGTCCTTCCGCCACCACAGGCTGCAAATGCGCAGGCCAATTGGCACACGCTAGCTTCGTTCTTTGTCCTTTTTCGTTGATTATCCAACGAGAGTTTGTAGAGAGAGGATAGGCCATGTTTTTTGTGATAGAGGAGAAAAGTAAGAAGAAGATGAAGCAACCCATGCGTTTTAGCACCTTTGTTGTCTTCATGTTAGATGTGTTTTAAATTTTGCGTTTTAAGTTTTGGTGTTGGTGAATCATATGGAAGAGACATACAAATCGGACCACATTTATAGTGGGGAAAACATTAACTACTATTAATATATTTCTAAGCAATTATTTAAAACTAAATTTCTAAAAAGTAACAAATAACAGTATATTAAAATGCAATAAAGATGGCATAGATATACACATGTATACTCATTTTATTGAATATAATTGACATGCAGATCTATTATATGTGATAGAAATCTTATATATTAAAACAGAAGTCATGACTTGACTTTATGTATGATTTTTTTTTTAAAATGGACTATTGCTAGAAAGTTATGTTACATTAACTCTTCAATAATCTTATCATTATTATATCTTATGAGAATTCATATCTATAATAACAAAAATACGCTTAACAATTTAATTTTGGTAAATTACCCCACACCTTCCAACTTAGTCATGCAAAATATATCAATAGATATAAATTTAGAATCTTCTATTATTTATAAGAAAATATGTCAATAATAGTTAAATGCATCCACAATATATTAACAAAAATCAGAGATTAGTAATATGAAATTTTTATATACCCTAACAAAATTTACACGCTATATATATTAGATAAATTTATTTTGATGTAATTTTTAAAAATTATATTGTTTAAAAAAAATTGTTTAAAAAATTTATTTTTAATAAAATTCTTTATAATATTAATTTATGAAGGTATAAGTTTAGTTTTTAGCAAAAATTTATTCGAAGTTTATATTATCTTTGCAAATTAAAGTATACTAATATTTAATAAAGCTCTCTTTATATTATTTTATCTAAAAATGAAATACTAATCTAACAAACAATAAAATATAGAAGAAGAAACAAACATAAGTTTGAAAAACATGTATAATATCTTTTTCGTTTATCGTAAATATGTGATTACTATAATATATATCAATTTACAAGTGAAAACAAAATGTTTATAAACGAAAAAGAACACCCGCGCGATTGCGCGGGTCAAAATCTAGTATATATATTAAAGATTTTGAAATGGATTAACAGGATTTGTAAATTTAAAATTATAAAATTTAAATTAATTGAATGATTTAATCTAAAAAGGAATTTACTGAAACAAAATTAATTGAATGGAGGCACAAACAAAAATAAAAGCACAATATTCTCTTATATAAATCTTATCTATTAAAATAGAAATCATGACTTATTTTAAAATGATTATCTTTTCAAATTTTTAATAAATGGATTTCTTTAAGACTAACAATCTTAAATATTAAAACAGAAGTCATGACTTGACTTCATGTGTGATTTTTTTTAAAATAGACTATTACTAGAAAGTTATGCTACATTAACTCTCTAATAATCTTATCATTATTATATCTTATGAAAAATCATATCTATAATAACAAAGATATGCTTAACAATATGGTTTTGGTAAATTACCTCACACCTTCCAACTTAGTCACGCAAAATATGTCAATAGATATAAGTTTATGAATCTTCTATTATTTATAAGGAAATATGTCAATAATAGTTAAATGCATCCACAATATATTAACAAAAATCACAGATTCGTAATATGAAATATTTATATACCCTAACAAAATCTACTCGCTTTATATATATTAGATAAATTAAATTTGATGAAATTTTTTTAAATTATATTGTTTTTTTTAAAAATAAATTGTTTAAAAAATTCTTTTTAATAAAATTCTTTATAATATTAATTTTTGAAGCTATAAGTTTAGTTTTTAGCAAAAATTTCTTCGAAGTTTATATTATCTTTGCAAATTAAAATTTATTAATATTTAATCAATCTCTATTTATATTACTTTATCTAAAAATGAAATACTAATCTAACAAACAATAAAATATAAGAAGAAACAAACACATGTCTGAAAAACATGTATAATATAGAAAATTTGAAACAATATATTTGATTAAAACACGTATTATATAATATTATTATGTTTGAAAAAAATTTACTATACATATTGTAAATATGTTATTACTATAATATATACCAATTTACAAGTGAAAACAAAATATTTATCTAACTAACTATAAACGAAAACAAACATCCGCGCAGTAGTGCGGGTCAAAATCTAGTCTTATATATTAAAACAGAAGTCATGACTTGACTTCATGTGTGATTTTTTTTTAAAAATGGACTATTACTAGAAAGTCATGTTACATTAACTCTCTAATAATCTTATCATTATTATATCTTATGAAAATCCATATCTATAATAACAAAGATACGCTTAACAATTTGGTTTTGGTAAATTACCCCACACCTTCAAACTTAGTCACGCAAAATATGTCAATAGATATAAGTTTATGAATCTTCTATTATTTATAAGGAAATATGTCAATAATAGTTAAATGCATCCATAATATATTAACAAAAATCACAGATTCATAATATGGAATATTTATATACCCTAACAAAATTTACACGCTATATATACTAGATAAATTTATTTCGATATAAATTTTTAAAATTATATTGTTTTAAAAAGAAATTTTTTTAAAAATTATTGTTTAATAAAATTCTTTATAATATTTATTTATGAAGCTATAAGTTTAGTTTTTAACATAAATTTCTTCGAAATTTATATTATCTTTACAAATTAAAAACTAATATTTAATCAAGCTCTATTTATATTACTTTATCTAAAAATGAAATACTAATCTAACAAACAATAAAATATAGAAGAAGAAACAAACATGTATAATCTAAGTTGGTATTTGATAAAAACACGTATTTTATAATATTATTATGTTTTAAAAACATTTACTATATATATCATAAATATGTGATTATTATAATATATACTAATTTACAAGTGAAAACAAAATGTTTATATAACTAACTATAAACGAAAATAAACACCAGCGCGGTTGCGCGGGTCAAAATCTAGTTTATTATATTAAATCAAAATCTTGTTAAAAATCTACTATAGAAAGTTATTGGACCTATTCATTAGACACTTAACTAATTAATCTAAATATATTCTTATTTAATATCCTCCTAACTAAATCAATATACATCCAAACAGTTACATTTTAAATAAAAACAATATATATCTAAATAATTGCAACTAAATTATCAATTCATTCAGACATAATTAATATCTCTTGAAAACTGGAATCACTATATACATGTATCTAAGATCAATATTATGAAAAATTAGACATGGGCATTCCAGTCTTCAAGTAAGATACATGCCGATTCTATTGGGTAGGGTCTTTTGAATATATTTGGATTTGAATGAGTATTTGATTTTTTTTGCTTCAGATTCGAATCGGTTTATGTCGGATAAAAATAGTTCAAGTTTATAATTAAAATACAAGAAAATACCTATAATTTTTGGATATATTGCTGGTCTAGATATTTAAGACTCGAAATATGTTCGAAGTATCCAAAACGGTCTGAAAACCGACAAATACTAGAGATCTGTTATATACCCAAAACATTCAAATACTCAACATTTTACCTAAAATCTGATTGAAAGATCCAAAAATACCAAAAGAAATTTACCCGAATACTTAATTTGTATTTTCTGAAAATATGAAGTTTTAACCTAAACTCAAAACTGTAAGCGAAAACTCAAAAAAAAAAACATAAACAAATATTTGTAATACCAAAAAATTAATAAAATACTCAAATCTAATTGATATATAAAAGAAATTTTGGGTATTTCAAATATTCGATCGGATCTCGTATAGGACACAGACCCAAACCAAGACTTGCATATCCAAAACATTGCTAATATGTATTTTTTCCTAGGCTCAAACCAAACCTGAATTTTTGGGTCATTCTCGTTTGGATTTTTGGATCAGAGTAAAATGCTTAGACATGACAACTAACACATATTTCCATTTAAATTTAAATTACATTTTTTAAAATAAATATGTGCTTAAATGCACATGTCAAAATCTAGTATAAGATTGTTTTAACTAATTTAATCATACTATCATTTGATATCTTATATATATTAAAATTATAAGTTTAAAATGACTATAACAAATCTTAATTATATATATATTTAACTATTTTGTAATTTATAATGAAATATTATTATATATTTAATATATGTTCAATTATCATTTATAAAATGAGATATTTTAATCTAGTTTTAAATAAAATATTATATGGAACTAAATATGATAAAATTATGTTAGACTGATAATTTAATATATTTTATTTTGATAAATATAAAAATTTATGCTAAAATATATAATTTTGTTGGCAAAATAGATTAACATTAATAAATTATATAATACATGTATAAGACAATTAATATATCTTAAATTTTATCTATACAATAATATATTATCTAAAATAAATAATTTAAATTTTTTTAAATCCCACTCTTTGAAACATGAATAAGAATCTGTCATAAGTTTAATATAGAAAAATATATTCAAATATAAATGTTTCATGCATATATTAATTTGTTTAACAATCAATTAAATACAATAAGATAACTAGATAATAAAAAATAACAAATACATGTAAGGGTTTCAAACAATTCATTAATTTTATTTGAAATATTGATATAAATATTTAAATATATGACCAATGTTAATAATCTAAATCATTAATGATGTAAAAAAGATTTATGTTTTAAAAGTGAAACAAATATCCGCGTAGTTACAAAATCAAGGTTTAGTTAACGTTAATATACAAAACATTATCGTGCACTTCAGCACTTATGTATGTGAGACGTAGGTATTAATGAATTATTGAATTCTTTTTTATATATATTACATTTACATTAGATATTTTAATTTCTGAATTTAATTATAGAACATTTTAATAAATTATAAACATTACATAAATAAAAAAAATATTTATAAATTTTCACCAGTGTTATTATTTAATTTAACAGATGTAGACTGATTTATAT